AAATAATGCTTGCAGTAATTTTAAGACAACTGCCAAGGATCACTCATGATAAAGTCAGCGGGTTTTCCCAGGTTGGACTAATTTGAACTTCAGTCCTAGTGTATCTTCTATTTTTTCCAAGACGTTCAGTCCTTTTGGACTCTTTCTAAAAAAAAGAATATAACTAAGACATTAAATGTATGACCCAAATGAGGGTTGTGGGGAGTTTCACAAGGTTATTGTAGTGGGGTCGCAGTATTGCCATCCTTCTGTACTGCCTTCAGAGGTGGGAGGCTGGAGAGCAGCAGCTGCTGGCCAGGCACCCAGCTCTGAAAGCAACACCCTGCTAGCAGCAGTGCGGAAGTATGGGTGGCAATATCATACCATGCCATCCTTACTTCTGCCTTCAGAGTTGGGTCAGGATCCCCCCAGTTACAACACTGTGAAATTTCAAATTTAAATATCTATCATGAAATTTCAATTTTTAAAATCCTATGACCATGAAATTGACCAAAATAGACTATGAATTTGGTAGGGCCCTAGCAATGACTTAATTCTTGATGCCCATTTGCATCGGTGCATTCATCAGTCATGTATGCACATTTTCTGAATGTGGTCAGAGAGTTCTTCACTTTTTTAACTGCTGAGTCTTTCACTGTTGCACTGCATGCTTCTAACCAGTCAGTTGAGTTTCTTGCAGAAAGAGAGTGAGCATTTGCTGGTCTTGTTTAGAACCAGTGTCCAACTTCAGGATTAGCAAGTGACAATGCCCCTACCATTGGCCTTGTTTGTAGCATTGCTTGCTTAAATAGAAAGTACGATGTGAAAGGCATATTTGTTCAGATAAGCTGTGTGAGTCTCCAGCATTCTTAACAGCCTCATTAAGTACTTCTAAAATTTGGCTTTGACAGTCATTGGCTTATAAGGCTTTCTGCATGTCGATGCAGTCCAGAGGCTTGGTGTTTTGCAGCCTTTTCACAGAGGATGTCAGCATTGGCTTTGCTGATCACTCTGGCAAACCAAGCTCCTCCACTTATACTATATAAATCAATGGTATGCCCGCATCTCAAATACTGTGTGCAGTTCTTGTCGCCCCATCTCAAAAAAGATATATTGGAACTGAAAAAGATACAGAGAAGGTCAACTAAAATGATTAGGGATATGGAGCAGATTTCATGAGGAGAGATTTAAAAAGACTGGGACTTTTCAGCTTGGAAAAGAGACGACTAAGAGGGGATATGATAAAGGGCTATAAAATCTTGACGTGTGTGGAGAAAGTGCATAAGGAAATGTTATTTACTTCTTCACATAACACAAGTACCAGGGGTCACCCAATGAAATTAATAAGCAGCAGGTTTAAAACGAACAAAAGGAAGTACTTCTTCACACAACACACAGCCAACCTGTGGAATTTTTTGCCAGGGGCTTTTCTGAAGTTTAAAACTATAACAGGGTTCAAAAAAGAACTAGATAAGTTCATGGAGAATAGGTCCATCAAGGGCTATTAGCCAGGATGGGCAGGGATGCAACAAAGAGTGTCCCTAGCCTCTGTTTGCCAGAAGCTGGGAATGGACAACAGGGGGATGGATCACTCCATGATTGCCTGTTCTGTTCATTCTTTTTGAAGCACCTGGCATAGGCCACTGTCGGAAGACAGGATACTGGGCTAGATGGACCACTGGTCTGACCCAGTATCGCCATTCTTATGTACAAATTAATATTGTAATAAATATTTAGTACAGAAACTCTCCAAGATAATGACCTTTTGAGATAGCGATGATGTGAGATAATGATCTTGGCAAATAATGCATTTTAAAAATCTTGGCCTACTAGGATATGTATATTTATATGTTTCCCAGTCACAAATCAAGCATTCTGGAGCAAAATCACTAAAACATAATCCAACAAACAAGCGTTCCTTTAACGTGCCCTCCCTTCTCCCTCCACTGCATCCTACTCAGAGTTGTTGTCCTTGGTCAGTGGAGACCCAGAGTTCAGAGGTGCTTCCATGTGAGTCCACCTCCCACCCTGGGGCGGGGAGGAGAAGGCATCTGGCTTGTTCCTCCAGCTGCTTGCTCTGGCCACTGTTGTTTGTTGTGCCACTGTTCACTCCACTGCTCTATTGCCGATGGTCCTGTGCTGTCATCTTCTGATGCCACCTGCCACTGTGACATCTGCAAGTCAGTCTCTTGAGATTCCACCCAGGTCTCAGTGCTAGTGCAGGCTGGGCTGTTTCTTCCACAGAAATACTATCCCACAGCAGGTCTAAGCACTTAGACCTGATTATCAGTGATTTCAGCTCTAGGGTTACTCAGGGCCGGTGTTACCATTAAGGCAAACTAGGTGGTTGCCTAGGGTGCCAAGATTTGGGGGTGCCAAAAAGCGGTGCTCCCAATTTTTTTTTTTACAGCGTTCCTGGGCTGGGCTGGGCTGGGCTGCTGGCGGCACGCTGACACGTGTGGCTCAGACTCCCTCTCCCAGCGCAGCAGCCGCTCCATGCAATTATTGTCATTGCCGGCGGGGGCGGCGTGCTCGGGGAGGGGGTGTAGTAGAGGTGCGCTGGGGTGGGGAGCCCTGCGGCAGCTCCCCCCCCCCGCCCTGAGGGACCCCTCCCCCCGCGGCAGCTCCCCACCCCACCCCCAGCCCGGGGAGCCGTGTGGCAGCTCCCCACCCCAGCTCATCTCTGCTGCGCCCCCTCCCCAAGCGTGCGGTCGCCGCTCCACTTCTCCAGCCTCCTAGGCTTGCAGCGCCAATCAGCTGTTTGGCGCCGCAAGCCTGGGAGGGGAGGAGAATTAGAGCAGGGGCGGCGTGCTCAGGGAGGAGGCGGAGCAGAGGTGAGCTGTGGTGGGGAGCTGCCGCACAGCTCCCCGGGGGGTGAAGCTGCTGCGGGGGAGCACCTCAGGGCAGGGGGGGCGGGGAGCTGCTGCAGGGCTGGGGGGGGCGCGCAAGGTGGAAGTTTCGCCTAGGGCGCGAAACTTCCTTGCACCGGCCCTGGGGTTACTTTAAAAAAACAAAAGACTCTCTATGGAGCCTAATCAGTTCTATCTTTAAACAGGGGAGGGGGCAGGCCAAACAGTGCCTGTGACTCTTAGGAAGAGCCCATCCTCTCTCGTCACTGGGATCTGGCATCCAAGCCCCCTGCTTAGCGAGTGCAGTTCAGTTGGGAGTGACCAATGCTTAATTTGTAATGAAAGAGGTGCCAGGGCTCAAGCAAGTTTTTTTTACTTTCATAACTGATGTGGCAAGCCCAGATGTCCCAGGGCTATGAACTGCCAAGCCTAGATATGCTGGGGCCCAGCCCTGGCATACACTGGCACAAATTAAGCACTGAGTATGACCTCCCCTCACTCAGGACAAGCTAAGTACAGTTCTGCTGCCCTTTACTCATACAATAAGGATAACATTTCATTACTCCTGCATTCAATACTACAGTGATTTGTAACTCAACACCAGCCAAAATTGATCACTTAGGCAACACAGCTCTGCTGGATACCTAGGCAGAGTAGGTGTGGTCATGTAAATAGTCTAGTCCTGAAGCCTTTCCCCGCCACTTTCCGGCTCATTCAGACCTTGCTTACAAATCATAACTTGAAATTATTAGGTTGGCCAACATCACCAAAATGAATGTGTCAACATTGTCTCAAAAAAAACCCCAACCCAGCTGTCTGAGAAGCTAATCTTTGTTCATACTTTTCAAACCTACTATTCTTTTTCAGTATTTTATCATATACTATATATGCTCTTAAAGTCTGTATTAATGTTTCAATTTTAAGTCAAATTTCCAACAGACTAAATAGGCAACACTGCATGTAACCAGTTGACCTCTGGGTGGATGATGGGGAAATTCAGAAGGGGTGTAGGGAAATCTCTGCCTTCTTTCCATTCACTCAGAATGAAAGGGGGTTGGGCAAACCTCATGCCTGACACCAGGGCTGGCCCTAGACCAAATGGTGCCCCAGGCAAGGAACAGCTTCAGTTCTCCCCACCCCTGCCATTTGTTAAACTTTTGACTACCTTATTTTTTATTGCATTTTGTAGCCCATTTCATGAGTTTGATGTTAAATGTAGTTCTCAGAAAGTCTGGAAGGTTCCACGAAATTCTACAAAGATCCAAAACATTCTAGGAGGTTAGTGAAAAATGAATCCATGTATGGAATACCTGAAACACGCTACTTCAAACATGCTGTTTTCCCTTTTGTCGCTAACAAAAACAACACCCCAAACCCAGCACCCCCCAGGCGGTTGCCTGCCCCTAAATCTGGCCCAAGGTTTAATCCAAGCCCAGACGAGGATGCTGATGGACTGAGCGAGTCTGAGATGGAAAACCTACAAGGCATGGAGCTCAGTTCCACGCCCCCAGCCCAGTCAGCACTCCTGTGGGCCATGGACAGAGAACGCTCCTTCCCGCTGAGACCATCCAACAGTTGGAGCTGGCTGTGCCACAGGTAGGGTTACCAACTTTGGTTGGACATATTCCTGGAGGTTTCATCACATGACATAATCTTTAATTCCTGGAGACTCCAGGACAATCCTGGAGACTTGGTAGCACAGGCTGTGTAGGGGCTTCCCCCACAAGAGTTCAGTCCCTCTATCTTGTTATGGGGATCACCTGGCTCTGGAGGCACCGCCACTGCCCCCGTGCGGTGCGGGAAGCTCTGCAATCCGCCTCCCTGCAGCGCTCTGCCCGGACGCTGTCAGGCTGCTGAGTGGAGGCACTCGGGACCCCTGTCCAGCCCCCTGCTTGCGCTAACGGCGCTTAACTGGCTAGCGACAGCCCGGCCAAGCATGAGTCCCGGCTCGGAGGCAGCGAGGTCGCTGGTGCCCCGGGCCCGCTGCCCGCGTCCCAGCCCGGCCTCCCTGCAGCGCGAGGTATTACCCCGGCGCAGCCGCCTTTCCACTCCCCGCGCCTGCAGCCGGAGGCGCGCGCCTGGGCCCCAGCTGACTCCTCCCTCTCTCGGGGAGCGGGGCCGGGAGTGTGACGTAGGCAGTTGTGACGCCCGGAGCTGAGCGTGTGGCTCGCGTACGTTGGCGGCGCGCGCGAGGCCCGGCACCGGCAGTTGGTAGCCACGCGCTGCTGAGCTCGCGCCAACTCCCTCCCTGCACCTCTTACCATGTTCCCCACCGCCCCCGGCTCCCCGCGCACCCCGGGCGGACCGGCCCGTAGGCCCCTCGGGGCCGCCGCAGTCTCCGTTCCCCGGGCGGGCGGCAGGAAGAGCCTGGCGGCGGCCGGCTCCCCGGGGCTGTTCTCCCCGGTGGGGAGGAGGAGCGGCTCCCTGTCGGCGCGGTGAGTTCCCGGCGGGGGCGGTGGGTTCTGGGCTGGGTCTTAGTGCTCCAGAGCGGGGCTTAGGGGTTCTCGGGGGCCGCGACTTGTTTGTCCCCCCAGAGCTGCCGCCCCTGTCCCCCGGCGCTGCCCAGCTCAACCGGGAGTGAGAGTGACCCGGCTGCTCGTGGCATGTCAGCGCTGTCCGGTGTAACTGCGCGGGGCTGCTGCCTAGGAGAGCCGCGGCCAGAGGCACTGAGCTGCCTGCCGGCTCGGGAAGCCGTCCCTGCGTCAAATCATCCCTTCCTTGCAAAGGGCTGGAAACTTAATTGGTGTTGTTTAAATTAACAGTCTGCAGCGCCCCCCCCCCACCCCCACCATTCACAACGGAAATGCCCCAGTGGGGGAGGTGGGATTTGTAAATCCAGTGTAATTTTGATGTGGTCATCTGCATTTTGGTTCTCTTGCTCATTCTGTAAGTGTGCTTTAATATTGCAGTGCTCTTCAGAAACTTGTATGGTTTATTTCATGAGTATAGGGGCCTAGACTGTGGTTCAAGTAATATGATTGATCACCCAGGGGTTTGTGCATTACCCAATTCCTTTGTGGCGTTGTGCAGAGGACGCCCCATTCCTAATGTTGGTGATGTAAGCATGATGTCTGCCCACTTAGATTGTAAGCACTTTGGGGCAAGGATTGTTTTTTTGTTCTGTGTTCATACAGCAGCTACACAGTGAGCTCCTATGCACGCCTAAGGCTCCTAATGCTGCGATAATTCAGATAAACAGTGTTTCCTTTAGCTCATTATAGTGTTCATTTTCTGTTTGACATTTCTAAGATTATGGGGCACAGGTCTTTGTTAGGTCTTGCGTAATCTTGTGGCTGCTAGTAGTAACCCTGAAAGTAACATGAACTGAAGCCTAGCATATGATGATTTCCATTCATTTTATGTCTAGAATGATTGTCAATTGTACCTTTTTAGTTTTTGGGCCTCTGGTTGTCAAAGTTTCCATGCATTTAAAAAAATCACTGTCCAAAAAAACTTACATTGTTCCCTATCCCACATAGGTCAGAAGTGTTATAAATCCAGAACAGTTATATGACACTTTAGAATTCAATCTCAAAAGTAGTCATTTGTTCTTGAGACTGACAAGTGTTGCTCAGATGACATTTTCAGCCCTGGAGGATTGCTAGACTGAACTTTCAGCCTGTTTAGCATGGCAGCCCATTCTCATTTTCTGACCTTGGTTTCAGGTTTGGGTCACAGAGATAGTCTTTCATTCTTTCTGATTGAAAGATGCCATTGCAGTGTTTTCCGGCTTGTTGGCAAGGAAAGGGCACTCTGCTGAGAAGCAGGGAAAATTTGTAAAGAAGTCAATTAGAGTGGAAAGGAATCTAATAGCAACCCAACAACTTTCTAGAAGGAGCTGTGATAATTGAGTCTACAAATTTACCATAATTTAGAGTTTTACGGTAAAAAGTGCAAGTTCATAAAATGTCACACTAACCTATAACAGGGATTGGCAACCTTTGGTACGTGGCCCATCAGGAAAAGCCCCTGGTGGGCTGGGCCAATTTGTTTACCTGTTGCATCTGCAGGTTCGGCCGATAGCAGCTCCCACTGGCTGCGGTTCGCCGTCCCAGGTCAATGGGGGCTGCAGGAAGGGCGGCCAGCACATCCCTCGGCCCACACCGCTTCCCGCAGCCCCCATTGGCCTGGAGCAGCAAACCATGGCCAGTGAGAGCTGCGATCGGCCGAACCTGCGGATGCGGCAGGTAAACAAACCGGCCCGGCCCACCAGGGGCTTACCCTGATGGGCCACATGCCAAAGGTTGCCCATACCTGACCTATAATAACAAATGTTGATGGGAGTAGATGCAAGAAAACCGGACAGAGAAACTAGATTAGTCTAAACCAAAAAGTCTGCATTGACATAATCTGTTGAAATTATGCTTGTTAAAAACAGATGTGGAGCTGGAAATTAATGTACCAAAATTGGTGTGTCAGATATTAGGCCTAATTGGTGGACAAAATAGTGAGGGGTATGAGCTATTTCACCTTCACACCCTTTTTGGGTCCTTAAGAGAGAGTCTTTGGGGGGGAAAATACAGAGCAAAGATTAGACTGTGGCTACTGGAGTGAGCTGCACCCTCATGGCTGTCAACTCCACTGTCTCCTAGGACCCAGGCCTTCTTTGTCCTAATCCTGTGGGATGTCCTGACCAGATGGGGTCAGAGGGGGAGCGATCCAGGTGATATTGCTATCCCCTACCAGCTCAAGCTATATCTCCGACACCACCTGAGATAAAACGGGGTCTGACTTTTACAGCAGCAGAATAACATCAGTTCCAGCCCATCTCAAGTAACTTATTTTCATTTCCCCAAAAGGAGTTTTACATTTTTAACAGCAGCAACAGCTACAGCTCGTACCAACCAACTTCTTCTCTTTTACCCAACAGGACAGATATTACCATTTTTAATACCATCTAAGAGACTCACAAAGTATTTTTTTTTCCTTCTAAAACTCTTTCCAGCTAAAAGTTTTGCCGTGACAAGCGCCAGTGTGAATAGCACGTTGTCGGCAGGAAAGCTGACAAGCAGTGGCTACACTGCATGACTTAGCAGCACGGCTGTAGCGACACAGCCATGTCGCTAAAAGCTGTGTAGTGTAAACATAGCCTTTGTTTAACACTGTTTATTGTTGGATTGTGACTGGGTTATGTTAACACCTTTGGTCCATTTATTCCATCTAAATTAATACGACAAGGGAAACCTAATATACTGACTTGTCTTGAGTGTTCCCAAAGATATGCATTTGTGCCCCTTTTTCACAAACCTGGCCATTTAATCAAATCTATCTTTTAAACAATTAAAAATGAAATAAATATTATATATTAAAATTGCAGGAGACATAGTAGAAAATTAATCACAGCTGGTGCGTACTTTTTTTTTTTTTTTAGAGCAACACCCACAAGAGTCATACAACATCCTTCAGCCAGTGAGACTATCAACTATGATGTTAAGAGTTTTGGATCCTCTCTCCCTGTTAAGGTTATGGAGGCCCTAAGAAAGGCTGATGGTAAGGTTTGCATTTCCCTTTTCTCCACATGGGAATTGGATTAGATAAAGGAAAAATGGTAATCTTTTTATACTTTTAAATAGTTGATTTTTGAGTGAGGAGGAGGAGAAGATAGCACCTCTTTTTAATTGCATACAGTAAGTCACTTGTTTGAGCATTTGTAAGCTTCAAAACATGTAAAACTGTAACTGTTTATGACCAGAACAACTCAACTACTTTCTTTCAAATGTCAGTCATCTGGATATCAATTAATTCAGTAACAGACTTCTTGTGAAAAGCAGAACTATTTCATTATATTTTTGTTTTATTTTTGTTTTATTTGTAATATCTGAGAGTATCATACAGACCAAGCAAAACAAGTACCTTCAAAATCCTAAGTTAAAAAAGGACAACCGTCCTTAATTGTTTCTTGTTTTGCACTTGTTGGTTGATGCCGTCAGTCGTGCTGAATAGGTGCATAGAATGTGTTCACAATTCTATATTTTTATACATAATTGGACTGTATCCATTGATCCAGATTTTTTACCTTCAAAACAATAACAAATCCAAATGGCTTCTAAAATTCAAGACTTGGGAACCACACTACTGGAAATGATTAGAACGAGCTAAAACTGGTCTGTTTTGAGAGTTCAATGCAAAACTTTATGAAAAAGTCATACCTCAATAACAAAGGCTGAACTAATATAAAAGAATCTCTTCCAAATATAAATAGCTGAATCTAGGAATGATGAAGAAGCTGGATCCTTTATGGACAAAGTTAATGAGAGTCCCAATTTTGAATTTGGTACCTAGATAATACAGTTAGAGGCATATTAAAAATGCCTAAAATAGTGTCTAAAGGGGGATTGTGTGTGTCAGATCCAAAGGATTGAGTAAAGAAATCAAGTTGTGTATATGTCTGTTTTTTATCTTTTTCATTTATTTTGTACCTGTCTCAAACTTTAGGTGCTTTAATAGTTCTTTAAGAACACATAATCCAAACTGTTAAAACACTAATACATCAGCTTGATTTAACCCAACCCCACATAATGATATAAAACCAGCAGATAAATAGAAAAAGCTACTCGTTATTATCTTCTTATCATTCTCCAAAAATCCAGGAAAATGGGCTTTGCCTTGAAACCAAGAATCTCTCTTCAGAGATTTTTCTCTACATTGCTGTTTCTTTTTTATAATGGTTCACTGTTTTAGGGTTACATTATATCTGCAATAACTTTAAGTAATTTCCTCAGTGATTATGCTGCTCTCAATTCTTATCTAATAAGATGTAAATAAAATGTAAATGGGTCATTTTCTTGGCATGACTTACTTTCAACTTTTGTGAGAGAAATGTATGTTACATTGAAATGTATTTTAAACAATATTTGGTAAATGAGTGTCTTGCATTTAATTATCTAAAGGACATAGAATTTTTCATGTGGCATTGGATCTATTAGAAAAAAGTTTCCTCTTTTCCTACCAAAATAAAGATTTGGTAGTTTAAAGATTATTCTACAGTGTTTTAGAAGTCTTATTACTTCATGAAATTTTATATGGTCTTTTTGGATGTAGCTGATGACCCGTTAAGCGTGCAGGTAGATGAAAGTGGATGGGCCTGGCTAGTCTACAAAGAGAGGCTGATTATTTGGAAGATTGGTCAATCACCAGTTGCTAAGGTAAATGGGCTGTCAAAATGATGATGAAAAAGTGGGTGTGTATGTGTTACGCTAATCGAGCAAGTCTTTCAATTCTGTAGTTTGACCCAAGGGATAGTTAACAAACTGAGACCCATAACTCACATGAAAAAGATGAATGGGTTTGTATGAATTGGTGGTAGCAACTCCATAAGAAAGGTGAAAGCTTGCTGTTAGAACTTAACTCTTGTATTTTCTCTCTATGCAACCTTAACATTGTATTGGGTTTTTTTTTATTTAATAGGTGTCTCTCAAGGCAGATGCACTCTAGTGATTTTAAATAACGTTTTTTGAAATTAGCTAATATATTAAGATTGGTTTTGATAATCCTGTGCCTGCTCTTCAACGTGTGCCATGAGAAATGAATCTGTATAAGCCTCTTGTATTGTGAGTGGATGTTTTGATTAATTTTCTTTTGTCAAGAAAATATTTTTACCTATGCACCAAAAAACACTTCAGTGCATAGCAGTTAACATCTGTAGGAGCCTGTAGTTGTTATAACAACAAGGAATAGAGACGCATTCTCCAGTCTCTCTTGATGATAGGGAATATGTCTCTCCTCCTCAGTCAAATGCAGCGTGTATTCTTTGGTATTGTGGACATTATACTGTGAGAGTTGTACAGAGTGACAGGTGCAGCTGTGCTGATTTTACCGATACATTTTCCTTCCCTATTCAACAGTCATAATTTTCTCAAGCACATTTCTTTGGATGATTTTACCATCTTGTATTTGAAAATGTATAACCAGTGTTCCGGCTAAAAGGCTTCAAAGAAACCTGCTTCGTCCAGTGTAGTGTTGAGAAGCACTCTTACCCTGTGTAATTTGTGAATTGTATTTGAAAATAATGTGTAAATACATTTCTGAGCTATCAGCTGGTTATGGCAATCCTGCTAAAAATGGCATTTGTGACACTCCATATGGGGACCTAATGTTAGAACTTAAGATAGTTTAAAAGCAGAAAATTGGGTCAAAATTCAGAGGTTACATTTTTTAAAAGAGAGTGCTTGATATATTAACAGTATTGTTCTGATTGGTAAACCCATATTAGTGCAAAATAAAAAGTAGTTCTATTATTTACAATTTTTATTCCAGTAGCACCCAAACCCTCCCCTCCAACCAGGATTAGGGCTCCATTGTGCTGGGTGCTGTAGAAGCAGATAGTGATATAGTCTGTACTCTAGAGCTTTCAATCTAAAAGACTCAAGAGCAAATGAAGGGTTGGGGACATGGTAATGACATACGTGCAGATGAACCTAATGATTGGCCCAGGTTGTTAGTTGTATGGTTTTTTTTAATTGGGGGTAAAGGTGGGGTGAATTTATGTTCTTTAACAATGGGTTATCTGAGAAGCCTCATACTACTGCCAAGCTGGGGCTGTTGTATCTTCTCCAGCCTTCACCTCCTGAAGAATTTCTCCAAGTGCTGAGGGAGCATCATCTGAAAAATGGTTGGCATTATAAATCACATTTAAGACATTTTAATAAATAAATAAGTTCAGTGAAACAATTGCCTGCTTGTTGGCAGACACAAATTGCTGTCTGGTTGACAGAAGACTGGAATCTAGAGTTCCTGTATTTGTCATTAGGATGGGAATGAAGCATGCCTGGGTATTTATTTAACACAAATATGACTGTACTCTGATAATCCTCTCTAAAACCCTTTGCTGTAGTTTCATGTAATTTGAGTAATTTAATTATTTGCCTTTACCTTAGTACCTACTGTCAGAACAAAGATTAGTAGAATTTGTAAAATGGATATACAAATGACTTTGTCTGAGGCATGTTTATAATAGTGTCTCTTTATACCTCGTTGTAGTTATCTGTATGCAAGGAACTACAGTTGCCATCCAGTGATTTCCAGTGGAGTTCTAGCTTGGCAGCTATATCCTGCCTCAGTACCTCAAGTGAAGTACCTTCTCTACAAGTAAGCAACTTAACAATTTTTTAAAAAAATCTATGAATATCCTTCTTTGTCATTCATTCATTTGGAAACTGCATTCCCTGTGTTATAATTAGGCTTGGCAGGATTCAGTTTTAATCGATAACTGTCAATAAACATCGATTTCTGTTGACACGCTGAAATTGACGAAAAACCAGTGGTCGGTAACTGTCAGTGTGCCTATAGGGATCTGGTGTCACCAGCCCTGTGGCCCTGGAGGGAGTCCTCTGCAGCCCTGCTGTCACGGGAGTGAGTGGGTCGGTCTGTGGCAGTGAAGCTGCAGAGGGCTCCCTGTGCTGCCTCTGGGTTGGTGACCTCTGATCCCTGCACCCAAGGTGCAGGGGGAGGCTGCAGTCTTGGAAGGGCAGAGCAGAGATCTCTGTCCAGGACTGTGAGGAAGAGGAAGGGTCCCTGGTTGCAGGAATGGCCACCCCACTGCTGAATGGCTTATGTGCCAGTGCAGGGAGCCCTCTGTAGCCCTGCTGTCATGGACTCTCACTCACCAGCTGGGAGTGCTGGGTGGTCTCTGCTTTGCTCCACCAGGATGACAGCCTTCCCTGCTCCTTGTGCCTGTAGCGATCTGGTGTCAATGGCCATGTAGGGATCTCTCTGCAGCTCTGCTGTCACAGTCCCACTCACTCACAAGCCAGGAGTGTGGGAGCCATCCTCAGGCAGGAACTGTTCGGCAGTGGGGTGGTGTCCCCTGTGGCTTGGGGCTCCTTGTCATCTTTGCTGTCCTGGCTGGGGATCTCTGCTCTTCCATTGGCCCTCCCATTGGCTGCACAGGCAGCGCCCTGCTGTCAGCACTGCCCTAACCCTAGCCTCAGCCCTACTCCCCACAACTGTAAAAATAATCAACATTTTTATTGATTTTTATTTTTAAAGTTAGGGAAAAGAAATGAAATCTGCCAAGCCTAGTTATAAACTACATCACTGTCAAGATAGCAGGCTCACGTTTAATATACTTAAGACAGTTTTAAAATAATTATTCTTTTTTTGGTAATTAAATGTAGTAATTAGAAACTTCTTATATTGCAGTTCTTAAAGGATTAATTAAAATTTTTTTTTAAAAATCAGACTAGGGAAAATACCATCATTCAGCAGTGGGACGCCCGAAACTTTAGTCCAGACAAGTGAAATTTGAACATAGTGCTTCCTGAAAAAGTTATGCATTATTTTTGTTTTCATTCTGGGTGTGTGGACTGCCTGCAAATGAAAACTGTTTTTTTGCCTAAGTTTCATTATGAATGCCATCCAACACTGGAAGAAATAGGTGATTTGCCTTCCTGGGCCTGCTGCTTTGCTAAATACCTCTTGCACTGTGCGAGGATGAGAACCCAGGATCAACTCGGTATACACTATATTGCACTGTTGTGCACTATATTGTGTGTAACTACCGTTCACAAAGAACATGAGATAGTGGCCAGTTTTCATTTTCAGTTTCAGGTTGTACACAGCATTCATTCAGTGCACCCAGAGCTTTTCAGTGAGGGTCAGATCAGCAGCTAGTCCTTGAAGGGAAGAAGCCATCCATCCTGGCATCATCTTGAATTTCTAGGTGGTGAAAAGAGGTAGTAGCATTTTGCTGTCACACCCCTCCCCCCAAACTTGACCCCTTTAACTCTTGCCACTGTTTAATCATGGTAGAAGTAGTATGAGAGGTGAGAACATGCGAAAGCCTAAATTATTAAATTCATCTTTCCTTAGCTGGGTATGTTTTGCAAAGACATCATTGCTTTGTGGACCACAGTAGTAAGGCTGTAAGGGGAATATTAGTGGTGGGAAAACTGCAAGAGGTTGGGTCAAAGGAATAGCTCAATGACCTCTTAAATTACAACATTACAAAATAAATTACTGTAAAATTTTTAAATATAATTGAACTGCTCGGTAATAGTGACCATAATGTAATTAAATTTAACATCCTTGTAGTGGAGGAAAATACTAAAGAAACCCACCACAGTAGCATTTAACTTCAAAAAGGGGAACTACACAAAAATGAGGAAGCTATTTAATTGGAAATTAAAAGGAATAGTCACAAGAGTAAAACGTCTTGTATACTCCAAATTACAACAAAACAGTAAGAGGACCAGAAAAATGCCACCACGGTTAAACAGAGTAAAAGAGGCATTTAGAGGCAAAAAGGTATCCTTTAAAAACTTTGGAAGTCAAATCCTAGTGAGAAAAATAGAAAAGAGCAAAAACTCTGGCAAGTCAAGTGCAAAAGTATAATTAGGCATGCCAAAAAGGAATTTGAAGAGCAACTAGCAAAAGACACAAAAACTAACAGCAAAAATGTTTGTAAGTACATTAGAAGCAGGAAGCCTGCCAAACAATCAGTGGGTCCACTGGATGATCAAGGTGGTAAAGGAGGACTCAAGGAAGACAAGGCCATTGCAGAAATGAATTCTTTGCATTGGTCTTCACTGCAGAGGATGTGTGGGAGATTCCCACACCTGAGCCATTCTTTTAGATGACAGATCTGAGGAAATGTCCCAGATTGAGGTGTCAGTAAAGGAAGTTTTGGAACAAATATTCACCCAAGAGTTCTGAAGGAGCTCAAATATGAAATTGCAGAACTACTAACTGTGGTATGTAGCCTGTTGCTTAAATCAGCCTCTGTACCAGATGACTGGAAGATAGCTAATGTAACAGCCATTTTTTAAAAAAAGGCTCCAGAGACAATCCTGGCAATTACAGGCCAGTAAGCCTAACTTCAGTACCAGGCAAATAGGTTGACACTATAGTAAAGAATAGAATTATCAGGTGCAGAGATAAACAGTGTTGGGGAAGAGTCAACATGGCTTTTGTATAGGCAAATCATGCTTCATCAATCTATTAGAATTTTTTGAGGTTGTCAACAAACATCTGGACAAGGATGATTGAGTTAGGTATAGTGTACTTGGATTTTCAGAAAGCCTTTGACAAGGTTCCTCACCAAAGGCTCTTAAGCAAAGTAAGCAGTAATGGGAGAAGAGGGAATGACCTCTCATGGATCAGTAACTGGTTAAAAGGTAGGAAGGAAAGGGTAGGAGTAAATGGTTAGGTTTCACAGTGGAGAGAGGTAAATAGCAGGGTCCCCCAAAGATCTGTACTGGGACAAGTGCTGTACAACATATTTATAAATGATTTGGAAAAATGGGGAAACAGTGAGGTGGCAGAGTTTGCAGCTGATACAAAATTACTCGATTGTTAAGTCCAAAGATGATTGCAAAGAGTTTCTAAGGGATCTCACAGAACTGGATGACTAGGCAACAAAATGGCAGATGAAATTTAATGTTGATAAATGCAAAGTAATGCACATTGGAAAACATAACCCCAACTATACACACAAAATGATGGGGTCTAAATCAGCTGTTGCCACTTAAGAAAGAGATCTTGGAGTCATCTTAGATAGTTCTCCGAAAACATCCGCTCAATGTGCAGTGACTGTCAAAAAAGCTTAACAGTGTTAGGAGCCATTTGGAAGGGAATAGATAATAAGAAAATATCTTAATGCCACTATGTAAATCCATTGTATGGCCACTCCTTGAGTACTGCATGCAGTTCTGGTTGCCACATCTCAAAAAAGATATATTAAAATTGGAATAAGTAAAGAGAAGGGCTACAAAAATGATTGGAGTATGGAACAACTTCCATATGATGGGGAGATTAAAAAGACCAACTATTCAGCTCAGAAAAGAGACAACCGACGGGTGGGATGTGATAGAGGTCTCTAAAATCATTAATGGTGTGGAGGAAGTGTTATTTATCCTTTCATGTAACACAAGAACCAGGGGTGATACAAATAAATTAATATACAGCAGGTTTAAAACAAACATAAGGAAGAAGTACTTCACACAACATGCAGTCAGCCTGTGGAACTCCTTCCCGGAGATGTTGTGAAGGCCAAAAGTGTAAATGGGTTACAAAAGAATTAGATAAATTCATGGAGAATAGGTTCATCAATGGCTATTAGCCAAGATGGTCAGAGATGTAACCCCATGGCCCTTAATCTCCAACTGCTATAAACTGGGATTGGACAACGGGGGATGAATCACTTGATAATTGCCCTGTTCAGTTAATTCTCTCTGAAGTATCTGGCACTGGCTATTGATAGAAGATAGGATAGTGGGCTAGATGGACCATTGGTCTGACCCATTACAGCCATTATTATGTTCTTATTATTTTGTGATTTTGGGGCAATCAGTTGATGAGACATAGTGCTTCCTGTCCAGATCTTTACTTGGATAAAGGCACTTGCACCAGTCTTTGTACTTGGCGTTGGGTGAATCTCCAGGGAGAGTGAATCCTAGAGTGAAGAACTCTTCACCCAAAACGTCCTGATAGAAACATTTGAGAGTTTGTGTGCTTATTCTCTAAAGAATACATTTGTAAGAAAAGGCATTGTAGAGTTTTATGTTTCTCTTAATGGCTCCAAAACAATTTCTTTTGGTTTACAGGTAAAGAGATTTTTTTCTCTAACTGTCAGCCTCGCCAGTTGACGTTGGATATTAGTCAAGCTGAGTTTTTGGGGTCACACGTCATGACCAGTAACAAAGATTTTGCATCTGGAACTTAAGTCCTTTGCTGGTTCTTATAGCAACAAATCTCACTTGCACTCCATAGCTATATTGGCCCTGCTACATGATCAGCAGTAAAAAGTAGTAAACATTATTTTTGTCAGTAAGACAAGCAGACATGACTCAGTATATACATCTGTTGAGTTAGAAGTTTCCATTTTTACATAATCCTCCTCCTCCTCCCCTGAATGCGCTTTAGTTCTGTGTGTATGTATGTATATGTTTACCAATTTTGTGTTTTTACCCACTTAACCTCTGGGACACTCAAGAGATTAATATTATTCAAATAAAAAGTTTCATCCTTCTTATAGTCCATCTGTATCATGTGTTGACTATTTTTCTGTAATTTCAAGTCTCTGTCAGCAATGGTTGCCACCAGCGAAGGGTTTGTACGTTATTGGCCCAGTCTTGTGCATGAAGGTTCCTATACGGAGACTTTTACAGACTTTAGAGGCTCTCTGTGCAGTTTTCTAACAGCTGTAAAGGTATAGTACAAATTTTGTTTACATCAAAAGTATTAATTTGATTGCTAACTTAGAAACAGGAAAGAGTATTTGGAGCATCAAGTCCTAAACCCTTAGGAACTTTAATAAACTAAACAGTTGCAGAGTGAACTATGTGACTTCATTATGGATAACTTCACAGAACTGACAGAGAGGCGATACCACCATGAGTGAGAGCAAGATCCCTTTCCTCCCAAAAGTTCCAGAATATGACAAACACGAACAGAGAATTATTTTGTGCATGAGCTTGTTAAACTGTATATATATATTTTTATAAATCCCAGTTCAGAAATTAGTTGTAAAAGGAGTAAACTGGAAAGATAAAATGGTGGTAGGACTACTTATATTCTCTTTTTTAACCTGTTATGTTTACTAAGGAATTGTGAATTTTTTTCACTTAACTAAGTGAACAATTACACATAAGTGTTTCAGATGTCAGCAGATTGACCCTGTTGGATAACTTTTACCTGCATTTTGCAACTTCTAAAACCTAGCACATCCGAAGTCTAATTTAAATAAAATGATTTTCCCTTTAGGGCAGAATTAGTATATTTATATGTAACATTTTTGATTAGCAGTGAGTATTAAAACATCCCAAAACAACACATCTGTTGCTTGTTTAACTTAAAAAGTCTAATAAAAGAATTAAGCATCTGTCAGAAAATGAAAGCAATTGAAAGTGTGTGTGCAGGCATCTCAGAGATTTGAAGCACTAGATTTGCTAAATTGGTAAACTGAGACTCGGGAAAAGTTCAAATGGAACTATACTACAGCATTTTGAGAAGTGTAAACATTCGTTTGAAAACATTACATGGAATTTTAGCTTTGCAATTTTTGTTGACTGAAATGTAATTCCATAGGATAAATCTTGTGCAGTGTTTAGAAGATTAATCATTGTTGAACTCCAGTTTAATATTTGCTTGATACAGACTTCTTTCAATACTTCTAAGTAATGTGTTTTTCACAGTATGGGCTATATTCATCTCCCATGTAACACCATTGAAGTCAATGACTTTGCACAAGAGGTGAGCCTGTCCCTGTCCTCTCCACTATTATTGCCAAATAGTGCTGCATTTCCTTTTACAAACAATCTGGCATCTTTTACAAAAACTATATTCACTGTTGCCAAAATCATTTTTAAAAGATACCGAAATAAGTCTCACAACATAGTCTGATGGATATTTTCTTATGCAGTTAGTTGTGATGTGTCCTACATAGGTCAGGGCACTTCAGTGAAAACAGCAAACTACCCTTGGAAAGAATTTTTTGTTATGGAGCAGAGCAGTTCCTAATAAGAAGATTATGAAAATGAGCATTAAGTTCACAAATAATAGTTGGTAAAAATGTTCATTAAAGGTGGACTATTTTTCTGATCAGTAAAACAGTTTTTCAAAAAATGTGGTAAAATATTAATTTAAACATGAGTAACTTAACACACACATTGTGTGCTATATGTCATAATTTAAGCCTTGGAAGAACTATAAATAGTTGTTAAAACATCTGATACATTTCAGTTTTTATGTAATGTCTTATAATTTCCAGGTAAAGAGCATGGCCTATTGAAAAGCTGACATTTTTAACCAAGTAAAGTTTTCCCCAGGCTTTTAGAGCCAGCTGAGCTTTAAATTAATTTGCTGGAAAAATGTTTCGTGGTATATCTCTGCTAGCCCTTGGGTTCTTTGTACAGTAGCAACGATGGCTGTCTTCCCAATCCTGTTTTCTCCTAGCCTGGTACAAATAATCCTTATTTGACAGTAATTGTTGCTGAAAGTTCTTGGTGTGTCTTTTATGTGTTTAATGTAGACATTTTTACTTTTCGTTAGGGAGGAAGTTTTGTTTTATCATCTTCAAGGGGCCAGCTAGTTCGATTGATACCAGACAGTTCTGGTAAGATCCATCAGCATGTCCTGCCACAGGGACAGGGCATGTTTTCTGGAATTGGCCGAAGAGTCTCCTCTCTCTTGGGGATTTTATCTCCCAGTAATGATGCTGCGGTAAGTTCAAGAAATAAATTATTATAAATAGATTTTTTTTTTTAAATTATAATGCTGTGTTCCAACTTATTGTCTCACTCCTTCCTTCCCCTTTCACTCACTGCTACTTAAGGACATACTGTATCAGGATACAGAACTTCTGAAACCCACTCCATACCAATTATATTCAGTAAGGCTTAAAAAAGAAATACTTTACAGCAGTGGTTTTCAATCTCTCTTCATTTGTGGACCCCTGAAAAATTTCGAATGGAGGTGCGGACTCCTTTGGAAATCTTAGACATAGTCTGTGGACCCCAGGTTGAAAACCACTGTTCTTTAGTAACGACAACCTTTCGCAGACCTCTTCGATGTAGTCTGCGGACCCCTAAAGAAAACCACTGCTTTACAGCACTGTTGTAAACAGGAAGGAATAATTATCTTGCAACTGTTTTTAAATTTCCTCAGAAATCATAGCATCTGTGTGCTCATTAAATGGATGATCTGCGTTCAGTATGATCACTTGGACTTGAGTCCTCAACCTGATTTGTGTTCCAGAATTGGTATTTCATATGCTTCCCAGAAGATTCCCTGCGTTGCGGTTGTCAAACACCAAGTGGCTTAAAGCCTAGAAAACTGGAGTGTACTACTGTCCCTCCTATTCATTTGTCATAGATTATCCCTGTGGTAACTGAATGTCAAAAGCAAACTATAGTTGGTATCCTATCTAGATGTGGTATTTCTCAACAGCCTGTGGCCCCTTTGTTTATTTCGTGGAGTGGCATTAGTCTTACACAGCATATTGTCTTCCTTTCTGGTCCATACCATACCTGATCTAGCAATTTAATTGCTGAGTGCTTGTGTATTTTTTAAGCTTTTCACCACAGGAAGACTCATTTAAGTTAATCGAAAGAAACTTTAGTGTGTGCTTTACTGTGCAGTATTATCATTCAAGTCAGGAAATGCCAAAGTTAAGGTTGTATCCAGTGTAGTGGTACTTGTGTATTCTAAGAGTCTTTAATTATTTGTCCACTTACCATTTATCAAATATAATGTACAGTTTTCTGTAAAACTAGATGTGTGGCATTTTGTAGTTTTGTGTATATACTCTGCTTATGCTGACAGTCTCTGAAAGTCACTTACATACAAGATGAGCAATGAATGAAGCAGGCCCTGTGTCATTTGCTGCATGTTATATAATATCCACTTTTCAAGGTTATATGGACATCTATTTGTATTATTTGTGATTTATTTTGTGATCATATTGTCATGCATATCCATAAGGAAGGACATAGTTTAACTTGCATGTGAATATTACCTTTGGCATTTTATGATTTGAGTTCTTAACCGTACAACTCATATTAAAAAAAAAAATCTGTTAAGTTAAACATCAGCAAAACATCCTATCCCATGCACCTTACTAGAGTCATAGGAAAAAATACCCTTTTGTCTATCTGGAGAGCTGCTGTCTTAACATTCAAATGCAAAAAGACTCATGCAGTCACTTCTGTGGAGGCCGTGCCCCATTTCCTGTGCATCTATAACATGTTTACTTCATTAGGCAAATGTTCTTTCAGGTCCTTGCATCACCCAAAGCATGATTTTTAAAGTGTACGTTGAACTATAGCCTGATGTACACTTGAGATGTGCAGAGAATGATGCAGGGCAAATTGAATGACAATGGAGAAACTATTAGTAACTCATAGGTTCTCCCTAGATAAAGGGATGCCAGTGGTTGTGGATCAACTCAAGTTTTGTATGTGAATTTCACAAAAGCTGGAGAGGAGCATGAAAGATATTTTTGCAATTTTTTTCTATTCCATAAACTAAGACTTCTGTCTGGAATTATTTAGATACTTAAATCTTGTATCATAGTTAAAGCAGAGATGGTAAGCTCTTTCGGGCAGGGACCATCTTTTTATCCTGTGGTTATATAGCCCCTTGCATAATGGGGTTCTGGTCCATGAACAGAGCTAGTAGGCACTACAGTAATAATAATTGTCAAATTGAGCATGCATAAGTCTTATCAAATTAAGAGTGGAGTGGCACAATATATCAGAATAGTAAGAACATACTTTAACTCACAGAGCTTGCTTCTTTTTTTTTCTTTTGTTGTTGTTGTTGTTTGTTGTTAATGCAGCTTTCTAGTGTTCTTTGGGACAAAGAGAGATCAAGCTTTTATGCACTGACCAGTTCAAATCTAAACAAATGGGAGATAGACGATTCTGCTGAACGTCAAGTTCTCAGCTGGGATATCAACAGAATCCTTAAAGAACACATCACAGATGCAATTTGGGTAAGAGGCAGTAAACTTGAAAAATAAAATGAAATTGGTAGTTAGCTGCTTTGTTTCTGTCAGTATAAATTAGTGTCTTTTACAGGGCTCTGAAAGTAGCTATGAAGATATTAAAGGAGGAGTCAACGTTCAGTATTTGGATTTGCAGCGAAACCGGTAGGCATGAGCATTCTGTCTAGCAAGAGATGAACCATGTGCTGATTTGATAAGTGCTTTCTATTTTCCTACATTGTTTTATATGTAAATGATTGGGATTTTAATTACTCTGAATGCTGTTGGTGACAAAACAGGCACCTCAGTGCAAATAACTAATTGTATTAGATGTGATAGCATTAGTAACTTAATGGTTTTAAAAATTCTTCACCCAGAATAACCCTATTAAAGTTCTGTCATTTCATGATAATTTTCTTCGCAATGTTTTTTTCCAGGAGGCTGGGTAAGCCAAATATAACTTCTGTGTCAGCTAACCAAAATAACTGGTCTGTGGCTTCTATTGGTATTACTTAAACAGCTTGATGGGAATTTAGTTTCCCACAGATTTTCAGTTTCTAAAAACCATTGTTGTTGCATTAAGAGCATTAAAACAACAAAATACTCCATATACCCCCTCACTGTTTTACGTTGGAGACTAAAGTTCCTGTTTAATAAAAAGACACTTTTCTAATACATTGGATCCCTGAAAATATTATTTATGTAGTGTCCTACCTATGTTCCTGTATTCTGAACCATGGTGCATGTACTTATTGTGTGGTGCTTTTTCAATGAATAGTGATGGACTGGTAATTTTGGCTGCAGCATGGCATCTTGGAGACAGTCCATGTCTCACCTATTACACTCTCATAACAGTGGAGGATAAAGGTTACCACATGTCTGATGATGTTGTTGTGGAGGTCACCCAATATAATCCACCCTTTCAGGTATGGAGTCATTGGACCTTTGCTCTAAAGTGAATTTGGAATTGGTCTTGGAAATAATGTATACAGGCAACATTTTTTGTGTGTTTTCTTTTCCTGAGAATTAATATAAACAGCTTTTGATGAGAGCAGTAACTAAAGTTCAATGTAAAATATTTAAATTTCATGTAAAATATATAAAGTAAAAACCCACAGAAACACTCTCCTTTTTCAGAAGTGTTATTGTTGAGATATTTCATATTGTTTAGGTTTACTGTCTTGCCCTCTACATACCGCCATCTGTCTCTCTGTTGTAAGCAGCTTTATTATAAAATCAATTTTGCATGAATTATGAAGTAATTCATCCTCAGTGTCTTGAATCTGAAGGAGAAGGCTGAAGGAATTTTGCTGAAAATGAACAGCAAATACAGAAAAGTTAAGAGTAAAACTTAAAGCAGCGGTTCTCAACTGGGGGTCTTTGGTGCCCTGGGGGTCCGCAGGGCCCGTGGCCAAAGCCCCAAGCCCTGGTGCCCTGGCACTCCCCCTGAGGCTAATGCCCTGAGTCCATGGGTGGATTTGGGTGGTTATGGGGGCGTTGCCCCCCCAAACTGCAGTGCCTTACCCAGACCAGGGAAGTCACGGGGGCAGCTCCACGCCCACCCCCCTACTTCCTTCTCTCCCCCAGACCCCTGAGGCCTCGCCCTTGGCCAGGTTGGAAGCTGGAGCCGGGCAGGGTGGGGCAGCGGCTACTCCATGGTGTTCCCCTGTTTCCTCTTCCTGCTGCTGGCGCCTGGGGTTGCGGCTGCTCCTCAGCTCCCAGCCCCCTTTGACTGCTCACGCAGCTGGTAAAGGATAGCAGTGACCGCAGGGTGGGGAGGCACTCCAGGCACATAGCCCCTAGCTACCCCTCTCCCTGCACTCTGAACTACCACCCCACCTGCACACAACACCTACCTACCTCCTGCCCTCTGAACGGTTTTCAAACTTTTTGAGCTGAGCCACCCCCCTTTGAGTTATAATGTTTGGTTGCACCCCCTCTTCCCCACAACCCAGACAGGCTGGGTGGCCTGCTGAGGTGAGTGGCACTCCCTTCCTGGGCCCCCCCCAATAGAAGTCAAATTACACCTATGCGTGAGGGCTCTCCTGCCTGGCGGCTGGAGCCCCAAGTCCCCCCTCACTGGGCCCTGGAGTTTTTATAACATGTTGGGGGGGCCTCAGAAAGAAAAAGGTTGAGAATCCCTGGCTTAGAGGTTAAAAGCTATTGTTGAGATAGCTTTTAATTTTAAAGCTTGATCTTTGTCTTTTTAGAGCTTTTAAAGCAGTTAAATAATACTGAGTAAGAAGAAAAAAGGATACTTGAAGAGTATTTCAGCCAGATGTGAATCTTCTTGTCTTTATTTTAAAATGAATCTTTTGTGAGATTTGGGCATTACCTGATTACATGGATTTATATGCCGTTAATCAGTGATATTCAGACCTTAGTAGTTCAGGAGCCAGATTAGCGATCAACATTACCCTAAAGAGCCTCAGTAGTGTGAATTCATTGTTTCATTTACTATAGTACTATATATTTAAACAGTATGACAGGGGAAATAAATATTATTTTCACAGCAAAATGACTGACCAAGTATTATTTTATCAGCTACAATTGGTTAATAACATAGTAAAAGCATCCTGATTGGTTAATAACTTAGATTGGTTAATAATTAAATCAGTGTTTTAATATCATGTACTGCAAAGAGCTGCAGTAGACTCTTTTAAAGAGCCACTTGTGGCTTGTGAGCCTCAGTTTCACTATCACTGCTGTAGATTGTTTTATAGGGTATCTTGTGCTGTATATACTGAACTAATTTTCTAATCTCCAGTTGCTTCTTTTTTTTTTTTTATAGCTTGTACTGATGCTCAGCAAAGCCAGCTGAAAGTTCTGAATTCCATCTAGTATCCCCAATATACATACCCTTCTTTCCCCCTCAGATGCAATCATATGCTCAAAAAAGAGGCTTTGCCTCTGCTGCTGTCTGGCTGATATTTTAGAAGCTCATGCTTTTGATAAGAACAGAAAAACCAGACCAGCTTTGAATTTAAATTTCCTGGCTTCTGCTGGGGGTTTTTTTTGCTCAGAATCTTAGCTTTTAAAAAATGTATATACTCTGTTATTTGATACATCAGTCTGTTTTACTAGCCTCTCTAATACCAATAATCTTGAATATCTCTGATAATTAAACCCATCTATACCTAGTTTTCAACAATCAAATCTTTAGTTACAGATGTACTGCAGATTTCTAACACAAATCCACAAAGTGTGCTTAAAGTATATTTGCTTACTCAACTGACACTTCACAAAAAATGTTTCGTGAAGTGTCAATGTCTCTTTAATTAAGCTTTTACGTTCATGAATATTAGCTTTGACCTAACTTTCTATGGCTGATATTTTTTCCATGGTGTCAATTTTAAAATTGGTTCTTACATTAGGAGGAGTGTCTAATGGCTGCTGAATTACTGATTTATTCACCTCTTTTCTATTCTGGTGAAAATATACCTTCATCTCTTTTGGAGTTAGCAGGTGACAAAACAGATCTTAAATATTCAGAGCAAAATAGAAATAGGGATCCTTTTAAAATACATTTGAGATAGATGTGTCTGTCATGTTAAAATTAAGAAAAGGCAGATATTCATGTTTGTACAACTTTTTGAACATTTTTAAAGTGCTGTATTAAGTGTTAAATATTGTTTATTTGTATATTCTGCCATTCTTCTGGACACTTGTAGTCTGAAGAACTGATGTGCTGTTTCGTGGTCCCAGACTTCTTTAGCCATGCTGCCTACCTGTATACTGAAGATGAGGTCTTTGCTTGTTCAACTGGAACTGGAAGAATTTCTTTACCACAGGAGAAAATTTTTTTTGGTGCACAAGGTAATAACAATAGGAAACTTAATTTGTATTAATTCACTTAGTTAACCATATTGACAAAATTTTTCTTCATTTATTTTAATTGAGCCATATGTTTTGGCATTCTGTTCCTTCATTCAAGGATCCCCAGTTACCTCAAAACTAAAGATTGAGGCAGCATAGGCTGATGGAATGAACAAAGGTTTGGCAGTCAAAGGTCTGAACTCTAATGTTAGGTGTTGCTGCTAGTTCTTTCTCTGGCCTGCAGCCAGTCAGTTTACTACTTTGCTTCAGCTTCCCTGTGTATGAAATGTATAATAAGTTGTTTGTGCAAACAATTTTGAATATATACACCTCTACCCCCAATATAACGCTGTCCTCGGGAGCCAAAAAATCTTACCGCGTTATAGATGAAACTGTGTTATATCGAACTTGTTTTTATCCGCCGGAGTGTGCAGCCCCGCCCCCCCCCCCCGGAGCGCTGCTTGACAGCATTATATCTGAATTCGTGTTATATCGGGTTGCGTTATATCAGGGTAGAGGTGTATATACACACACACATATAAGTGCTGAGTATATTTTTATTCATATACTGCTTGCAAAAAGTCTGGGATTTTACTCTAAAAATGGGATTTAAACTCACTTGACAGGAGACAGAAAATGAAAATAAGATGATATTGTGTAACTGTACATAGGAGCCCTATTTTTAAATACCACCGAATCTTGCTTATTCTGATAGACTTTAAGGTCAGAACGAACCATCATGATCATGACCTCCTGCACATTGCAGGCCACAGAAGCTCGCTCACCCACCCACTCCTGTAATAGATCCCTAAACTCTGGCTGAGTTATTGAAGTCCTCAAATCATGATTTAAAGCCTTCAAGTTACAGAGAATCCACCATTTACACATGTCACTTGCTGGTTTAAACCCATGTTGCAGAGGAAGGCTTCTCTGCAAACCAAACAAGTCTCTCTCTCTCCACCTGGAAATTTCATTCCACTTCTCATCAAAGATTTGAGTAGACCACTGCTATTAGTATTTTATAGGACAGTTCTTTTACTAGGATAGTATGGTGTGTAACATGAAATAAAGCTGGACTTACTTTAATATGTGAGAATATTTTATGAATCCGTGCTTTGGATTTTTTCTAAAATTAGGTTTGTTTGCTTAGTTATTACCTCATATCATTTGGTAATCTGCAGTGGGTCTTATCGTTTGTTTGAATGATCAAGTCTGTTGTGAAGTACTGCTGTTAGCTGGTTCATGGGAAAATGTGGTAAATGTCTACTTGAAGATCAAGCTATGAATGCAGCATTATATGATCATTTTATTTATTAAATGTCTTGTTTTTCCTTCCCGTTAGGTGATAGCATTTTAGGAGCAGGTTCTTACACTGGAGTTCCCATTTTTTTCACCAGAAAAAGTGGGCTTGTGGCCATCTTTTCTAGGGAAAGTGTGTCTGTGCTTCCTGAAGACCTTGAGGATTCCCTGTCCTCTTCTGTAGCTGGACCAAATAATGAGGTAATATTTAGTATGAAAAGTCAAAACCTCGTAACGCAAAAAGAAAATGTGCCTAGAGTTCACTCACCTTCACAATTTCATTCACAGAAAATTTTAATTTTTGTATAGCTCTAACTGAAAACAAATTTTCAAAACCCAAAACAATTTTTACAATATTTTGAAATTCCCAGTCAAATTGATATTTGTCAGCCAGCTCTACCCATTTGAATAATGTGCTACTTTAATTCTACTTTTTTTTATCAAGTAACCAACTCTTTTTAGAATGGAAAAAAGTTTTTTCACATGTCCGTATTTAACTTTTATACAATATGCATTTACTTAAAATCTCAGATGAGTTACCTTGTCAAGAATATTTTTCTAAAGTAGAATCTTTTGCCCAAAATTTTTTAGAGAGGGATGGAAGCTGGGCATCTAGTATGGGGCTGACCAGTTCTTTAGTTAGCTAATAACTAAGAATGAATTGGTCATTATCCCATTTATCTGACCCTCTAGAATCAGTTGCTGTAGTAGTACCTCATAATGGAGGGAATCTCATGACCATTACTTTGGCTAGATCAATCTGTACAGCTTCTGAACTGTGATCCTGTTACCTTTACCCCCAGTCTCTTTTGTTGTTGTGATCAGCAAGAACATCCCACAGGAATAAAAACTTTAGATTTGGCCTGTCTATTATAATCCTAAACCATTGTTATTTTAGAAAGATTACTTTCCTTCCATAATGAGGTTTGTATTTGCCTATGTGTCCTTCAGTCTAAATTTTTACTTTCCATTTCAGGGTTCTGCATTTGATGCTACCAGTAGAATGGAGATTATAGCACAAGAGGATAAAACTAAATTACTGAAAGCTGCTTTTCTACAGTACTGCAGGTATGAGGAGTCACTATGTTGATATACTAGAGAGGGCAAGTTTGTTTTTAATTAAGGGATTCTCTTGATAAAAATAAAATTCATGCTGATTAATTAAAAATCACCATGGACCCATATTTAATATATTCCTTTTCTAGAAAAGTGTGTGCACACCTTGGACACTGTTGAGTAAATTGTTATTGACAGTTTTTTTTGACTAGCTGTTTTATTTTCCCTGAAATGCTTTTCATATTGGTTGAATTTTTCTGGATTTTCAACACACACATCCCACAGCCCCAAAAAACCCAACCCAAACAAACAAAAGAACCCCACAAAAAATTGGTAAAAATATTGTTTGGTTTTCAAAAACATTTTTCAGTTTTTAGTTTTTTGTGGTTAAAAAAATCACACGAGATTTTGTAAAAAGAACCAATTTTAAAAAAAAATTATCGCATGAAATAATTGGCATTCTTGGACCACCTAGGCAGTGATCCATGTTAGAAATGAGCAGACTTGTATAGTCATTTTTACAGCTATAACCTGCCAGAGCTGGTATTAATGATCTGATTGACACAAAGTAAAGCTATTTTAAGCTTAAAATTTTGTTTGTCCTCTCAGTAACTGGCATTGGTGAAGAGTGTTAGGGAAGAATGGAAAAATCCTGACTATTTTATTTACATTTAAATGGGCAATTTTCAGTATTCCTTTAGAAGATATTTTTTATACAGTGCCATGAATGTGCATAATGCTGCTCAAAACATAGTCATTGCCCTGATAAATGTGTGATCTAAATTGACAAAAACAAGTGGAGGAGATAAACACCGGAAAGGGTGGAGTGACCCAAGGGTGAAAACAGTAAGTTTGTTTGCTTAGTGATTTGTGCAGATGTCTTCAGGGCTGCAGACTTACACTTTTCATATTAGAATAGAAAGAATATAGTAATCTATAATCTATAAAACTAAGCCTCCTAGAATAATTGAGGTTGGAGAAAGGACTTTGAAGAGAGGATGGAGGCATGGAAGAGAGAGTCAGAAAGAGGGTTCCAGGCATAAGGGGCTGCATGAGAAAGACAGAGATTTGTGTGGGAGAAGTGCATGAAGGGGACTGTCAGGCGAAGTAGAGAGATAAGAAATTGAGTTGTGGAGATCCTTAAATACAAGGAGGAGGACCTGAATTAGTCCGGGAAGAGAGAAATCATTGAGCTTAATTCTTGGTGTAGAAAGTTGCAACCATGGAGGTTAATGGGGGAATTGATTTGTGACAGCAGGTTGAGCAAGGGTATTAGTAAGAGAACAAGAAACAGTGAGGCTCACCAACATGGAAGCTGAAACTGAAGGTTAATGGTGTGGTACTAGGAAGAGAGTCAAGAGTTAGGTGGAGAGAAAGGAGAAGGGTGAGAGAGCAAGCTGGAATGATGAATGACAGCAGTGGCAAGAAGGGATGGGTGGATAGTTAGGTGTGTACTTCAGAGAGGAAGGGGAAAGTGAGGAATTGTTGGAACTGGCAGGAGAGCAACAAACACAGCTGCCACCTGGGCAGCTGGGAGGAGAAATCACCATCAGAGGATGGTGCCAGGGTCGGAGAGAGAGCCAGTGCTAGAGTGGGAAATAAATTGTAGAATGAGACATGGTTTTGCAGGATAATGCAGGAAAAGGGAAGATGATGAAAGGATATGGGGATATGCAATAGATTACTGGGTTAGTAGTGTTTTTGGAGGAAGGAGAGTAGGAAGCAGCTGTAGAGAAACTGAAGGAAGGGGATAAGAGGAAGATGGCAGTTAAGAGACTGAAGATAAGAGGAGGTATGATTTGATGAGAGTTGGAAGGACAGGGTGAAGAGGTGAGGGTGCAAACTAGGAGTGGTAAATGGAAGCTGTGATGAGGGTAACCGCGTGAAAGTGAGCCATTATTTGGAGAAAGATGTTATTGGATCAAATGGTACCAGATATGAGAAGAAATGGATAATCTGAGCCATGGTAGGTGACAACTAAACAAATACTTTGCCTCAGTTTTTAATAAGGGTAATGAGGAATTTGGGAGTAGTGCAGGGTGGCTTATGGAAACAAGGATATGAAAGTAGAAATGACTACTTCTGACATGTAAATCAAACTCAAACAGCTTAATGGGACCAAATCAGGGGCCCCAAATAATCTCCATCGAAGAATATTAAAGGAACTGGCACATGAAATTGCAAGCCCAGTGGCAAGGATTTTTAATGAATCCTTAAACTTGGGGGTTGTACCCTATGACTGGAGAATTGCTAATATAGTACCCATGTTAGGGTTTCCTCCCCACTTTAAACTTTAGGGTACAGATGTGGGGACCCTCATGAAAGACCCCCTAAGCTTATTTCTACCAGCTTAGGTTAAAAACTTCCCCAAGGCACAAATTTCTTCCTTACCCTTAGTATCGCTGCCACCACCAAGTGATTTAAACAAACATTCAGGGAGGGCCACTTGGAGCCCTACCTCCCCCAAAATATCCCCCCAAGTCCCTACACCCCCTTTCCTGGGGAGGCTTGAGAATAATATTCTAACCAATTGGTTACAAAGTGAGCACAGATCAACCCCCCTGGGTCTTTAGGACACTGAAAAACAATCAGGTTCTTAAAAGAAGTTTATTTAAAAAAAGATAAAAGAATCACCTCTGTAAAATCAGTATGGAAGATAACTTTACAGGGTAACAAAAAGATTTTAAACACAGAGGATTTCCCCTCTAGGCAAAACGGGGAGAAAAGGTGATCTGGGAAACTGCAAGTCTGTTAGTCATACCTCAGTTGTATGCAAGGTCTTGGAACAAATGTTGAAAGAGAAAGTAGTTAATGATATAGAGGTAAACGGTATTTGGGATAAAATACAACATGGTTTTACGAAAGTTGAATTTTGCCAGACCAACCTGATCTCTTTCTTTGAGAAGATAGCTGATTTTTTTAGACAAAGGAAATGCAGTAGATCTAATCTATCTGGATATCAGTAAGACGTTTGATACAGTTCCATATGAGAAATTATTAAATTGGAGAAGATGGGATAAATATGAGAATTGAAAGGTGGACGAGGAACTGATTAAAGGGGAGACTACAACGGGTCATATTGAAAGGTGAACTGTTAGTCTGGAGGGAGTTTACTAGTGGAATTTCTCAGGGATCGATCTTGGGACCAATCTTATTTAACATTTTTATTAATGACCTTGGCACAAAAAGTGGGATTGATTGTGCTAGTAAAATTTGCAGATGACAAAAAGTTGGAAGGTATTGCCAACATGGAGGAGGACTGGAATATCATACAAGAAGATGAGAAGGACCTTGAAAACAAGAGTAATAGAAATGGGATGAAATGTAATAGTGCAAAGTCATGCACTTAAGAGCTAACAAGAATTTTTGCTATAAACTGGGGACGTATCAGTTGGAGGCAACAGAGGAGGAGAAAGACTTGGGTGTATTGTTTGATAACAGGATGACTATGAGCTGCCAATGGGATGCAGCCATGAAAATACTGTGTGAAATTCTGGTCTCCTATGTTTAAGAAAGATGAATTCGAACTGGAACAGGTGCAGAGAAGGGCTTCTAGGATAAGAGGAATGGAAACCCTACCTTATGAGAAGAGACTCAAGGAGCTTGACTTGTTTAGCCTAACCAAATGAAAGCTGAGGGGAGATATGATTGTTCTCTATAAGTATATCAGAGGGGTAAATGCCAGGGAGAGAGAGGAGTTATTAAAGTTAAGTGGTGCTGTTGTCACAAGAACAAATGGATATAAACTGGGCATCAACAAGTTTAGGCTTGAAATTAGACAAAGGTATCTAACCATCAGAAGAGTGAAATTCTGGAATAGCCTTCTAAGGGGAGCAGTGAGGGCAAAAAACCTAACTGGCTTCAGGCTTGCGCTTGATAAATGTATGGAGGAGATGGTATGATTGCCTACAACGTCATGTGGACCATCTGCAACTGCTACTAGCCCCCAATAGCAAGCCAAGAGGAGCATTCGGCACATACATTTTTTTAGTTAAAATATTGTGTCGACTGCTCCTGTTAGCTTGGCTACTGGAAAGGCATTCAGCATGCATAGCTAAACATCAGGGTTTTTTTTGGTCAAAAGTGACTGCAAATTACTTACCCATCAATAAAATAGAAAATACCCCTTTGAAATAGGTAATTATACTGAGATGCTTTTTAAAAACTCAGGTTAAAGGTGGTCAGTACAAACAGTGTAAGTGATTATAACCTACAAATTTAATAAAAAGTATAGTAGAAAAAACTGCTGGTTGTGAGAATTTTTAACATTCTGGACACTTGATTACACTTTGTTTTATGCAGCCTTTCTCTTTTATTTCAGAAAAGATGTAATCAGTGCACAGAGCATGGTTGTTGAGCTCTTTCCACCAAATGCAGACCTGGATTCTGATACTGAACTGGATAGAGCTGTAATTCAGATCAGTGTAGACTTAGTGGATGATTACCCTGCATCTGACCCACGATGGGCTGAATCTGTACCAGAGGGTAAGGCTTAATATTATTTGGGGTTTTATATGTGGGAAGTTGTGCACAGTTTTCTGTTTAAAAAGTAAATCATAAGGTATGCCCTATGCTCCATGAAGTGAAGGCAATTTTTGGGACTTGTGGATTGCTTAGTAGTATTCAACAACTTGCACTGATTGCACCGCTTTGACCTTTCTTTCCTACCCTCACTCCCTCTTCCCAAACTAGTCACCAACAGCCTCCCCACAATTTTTCGTATGCGCTCTCAAGTGTACTTTCATGGGGGTAAAGAGCCATTTGCCTTTGACCACTGTTTCTGCGTGGCAACCTCTACTCTAAATAGCTCCTTTTCACTCCTTTTAGTGCTGCTGTTTCTCTAGTAATGCTAAGAAGAGAGGAGAGTAGCAGTTGCTGCAGGGGGAAGCTACATGCAAAGGCTAAGTGCCACTTTCTTACCTCCCCAACCCCTGCTGGAGGAATCTGGTGTAGGTGAAGCACTGAAGCAAGCCACCTTCTGATCAGACACTCCTTCCTGAGTAACTACCCATGAGAAGAAACCTTCCTTTATATCTCCAGGCAGCAGTTGCCCAGAGCTGAGCATGGACTTGGCTGGAAGTTTTATATGTAGCATGTATGGCCAACTGATGCTTTTTTTTGCTATCATTTCTACTTGGCAATCTATAAGAAATTATGAAATATCAAATACTAAATCTTTAAAGATTCACAACATATTGAAAAATAGCCATTATATTATGAATGCATTATCTGAATTGATTTCCTGTTAGTGCAAAAACTGGAGTTGATTAATCAATAAATACTTGAAAATAAAAATAAAATTCTGATAAGCCTAGACATGATGGAAACTGCAGACGCAACTGTTCTTGTGAGTTTCACATCTTAGCAGTCTTCTGATAATAGAGTATGTAGAAGTTGTGAGAATTCTAAAGCAATAAAAAGGTACAGTGGAGCCCTACTGGGATGTCAAACACACAGATATACCCAAAGAAGCTTCCACTCCACTCACTGGTTCCTTAAAGTCTTTGCTCCTTTGTGTAAAAAATTTTATCAGGATCCTCAGATTCAAATCCTGAGGGAAAGGAGTGAGCTTGGGCCAACCATATTTAAAACAGCAATACATGGCTACATCCGGGGGTGAAGAAGAGGGAGCAATTTCTTTTTGCTTTGCTAAGCCCATATGTGCATGGAGTGTAAAATCTGTGCAGTGGTGGAGGTGTATTAGGTCTTTAATAAACCCTTTAATCAGGATTCAGATAGTTACCTTCATTTTGATGTTGTCTGTCTTCCATATTTATATATTTGTTTTATTTATATTACAAAAACTTAGTTTTAGGTTGTGTTTTCAGTCTCTTAAGATCAAAACAAGGTGATCTGATTTAAAAAAAAAAAAAAAAGTCCAGTCTTTGTGTATCAGTTTTTGTTAGTATCAAATAAGTTTTTTTTCAAGGGTTTGCTTTTGTTCATTTTTTTGTAATAACTGAAGACAGAAAAGCTGCAAAATGTAAGAGATCTTAAATTCCAGCTTGCAATACCATGGACTTTTAAAAAAGTGCTCTTAGTTAAAAATCTTGTCTTCACACACACACTCTTTTCAGAAGCAGCTGGTTTCAGCAATACATCCCTTATTCTCCTTCATCAGTTGGAGGATAAGACGAAAGCCCATTCCTTCTTCATTGACTTTCTTCATCAGGTAAGGTCCTAAAATTCTGCTGGCATGAACACTTATATTTTTTATATTATATTAATCATTTTTTGCACATTGCTTAACTTTTTTTTTTTTAATAAAAGGTTGGCTTATTTGAATGTCTGGGCAGTTTTCCAGTAAGAGGGATGCCAATGACAACTCGATTGTTGCTCTGTGAACATGCAGAAAAGTTAGCAGCAGCCATTGTTCTCAAGAACCACCACTCCAGACTGCCAGACTTGGTGAACACCGCAATATTGATTGCTTTAAACAAAAGGGAATGTGATATTCCACAAAGTCTTACCCCTGCAGATGTTTTCTTTAGAGAGGTAAGACGAGGAAGTCTCCTTGATTAATTGGAACCCTTTTCATGATGAATTGCTATGTTGTAAAAACTGAAATACATTAATGTGTAAAATAAGACTTTATTCTTCTAAAACAAATTTAACTTTCCAGAATTCTCCTGTTAAGACTTTATTGGTAGCATTTTCTCTCATTTTAAAACATAACTTTTTGCATGCATCTGCAACTAAAGTACGAATCCTGATTGACATCACATAGCTAGAGTAAAATTAATCTGATCTCCAACCAGTTCAGCTATAGGAAGGATGAAAAGACTGCCATGTTTTCCCTTCTCATCAGAGAATTGTATGCTAGGATTGCCATGTTACAGGAGAGCACTGAAGGACACTAATGCCGTCTAGGTAGGTCTCTTTCTCATAAAGCTAGCAAAACGTGTCCTCATCTCTTCATTCCCTTCCTGGAATGAGTCGTAACCACTCAGTGCCTTTCACTATAATATATTGTCCTCTCTGATGCAGTATGTCTAATCCAATTAATCAGTTACATTTTTAAGGCAAACATTCCAGTTGTACTACATTCCAGTTGTGTCTACTCATAATTTCCTCTGTTTCATCTTAACAATGTGCAATAAAATGTTTAGATTTAGTTTTAGATGAATTATGTACAGAGTATTAATAACTAGTGACTGATTTCTCCCTAGGAGAGGTGAGAACTGGTGTCAGCTGTGGAGAAAATAAATAAGTAATAGGAATTGTGATACCTGATTGAAACAGTTGTCCGTGTAGTCCATTATCCTTTTCCTGACAGTAGTCAGTACCACATGTTTCAGAAGAAGGCACAAGGAGCCCCATAATGGACAATCATGGAAAAACCTGCACATATGGGGAGTTTCTTCCTAACCCAATTGGTTTGTGTCCAGAAGCGAGAGGGCTTATAACCCTTAAAAAAAAAACAACAAAAAACTCAACTAAAATAACTGGATGTTTTCAATATCCATATAAATGTTTAATACTTTTTTGTATTCCAGTAGGCTGTTTAATCAAGATCCTGTTAATACTTCAATATTTTCATAGATAGTAATCATTTGGCTGTCACACATCACCTGATAATGGGTAGGCTTGTGTTCAGTGCAAATATTTTTGTATGTTTTACAGGTATCCCAGATAGATACGATCTTTGAATGCTTATTAGATCATGAGGAGCAAATCTTGAAGGATACACCAATTGAATCCATTGAGTGGGCCCAGATAGTTGTCGATGTGAATAACATCATAAAGGTATCAAATTACATTGATTAAGCGAAACACTCCAGAAAAAAACCAAGACCAGAATTTAGCAAGTTGAGTCCAACCCTACTTTTCTGAGTATTAGTAAGCAAGGGAAAGTTGTCGAGAATGCAGTATTGTTTCATAAAGAACAGGAAAGAGAAATAAAGAAAACATAAGAATTATTTCTAAATATAGAATTATAGAAATGTAGGACTGGAAGGGACCTTGAGAAATCAAGTCCAACCCACTGCTCTGAGGCAGGATCAAGTAAACCTAGACCATTGCTGATAGGTGTTTGTGCAACCTGTTTTTAAAACTTCCAATGATGGGGATTCCACAGACTCCCTTGGAAGCCTATTCCAGAACTTAACTACCCTTATAGTTGGAAAGTTTTTGCTAATATCTAACCTAAATCTCCCTTGTTGCAGATTAAGCTCATTACTTCTTGGCCTACCTTCAGTGGACATGGAGAACAATTGATCTGTCATTTATAACGGCCCTTAACATACACCTCTACCCTGATATAATGCTGTCCTCGGGAGCCAAAAAATCTTACCGCGTTATAGGTGAAACCGCGTTATATCGAACTTGCTTTGATCCGCCGGAGTACACAGTCCTGCCCCCTCCCCTCCCCCGGAGCGCTGCTTTACCGCGTTGTATCCGAATTCATGTTATATCGGGTTGTGTTATATCGGTGTAGAGGTGTATTTGAAGACTGTTAACATTTCTTCATAGGTCAGGTTTTCTAAACCTTTTATCATTTTTGTTGCTCTCCTCTGGGCTCTCCTAAATTTGTCCACATCTTCCCTGAAGAGTGGTGCCCAGAACTGGCCACAGTACTCCAGCTGAGGCCAGTGCTGAGCACCACGAGAGCTGGATAGAGCAGGACAATTACCTTCTGTGTCCTATATACAACACTCTGTCAATATACCTCAAATTATATTAGCCTTTTTTGCAACTACATTACATTGTTGACTCATACTGAATTTGTGATCTGCTATTAACCCCCAGATCCTTTTCAGCAGCGCTATCCTCCTTACCAGTTATTATCCATTTTGTAATTTTGCATTTGATTTTTCTTTCCTAAGTGAAGTAATTGTATGTCAGTTTTCCCACCTGATTAATAAGAAAAAGGACCTTGCAATGTTGAAAACAAATTCAATAAAGAAGGCACATCTGGATAGGAAACTTTAAGAAATACTTTGACTTTGCAAATCTAATTTTACTTTTGTCCTTTATGTAGGCTATTTAAATATCAAATGCCATGTGCAAGAATATCAAGGTACTAATAAACAATGTGTAATGTAGGATTTTATTATATGGATATTACTAATAGAATTATGTAAACTTCTGGACCTGCTCAGTCTGTAGTAGAAATTAATAAGTTGCAAGAGTTAAGAAAACAAAACAAAATCCGGTGCCATATATGGAACCCTTTTTAACAAGGCTTTTACTTCAGCCAGCCCAAATATTGGAAGGGCAGAGTGGAGGGATAGAGTGAAAAATACAGAAAACAGTAATTTGCATTTCTTGGCTGAACAAAAACCATGGAATATGTATTAGTTGTTTAATAACAAATGAGTACTACTAATATTAAAAGAAGTGAAATTGATAGAGTTATATGGTTTCACATATAGTACAGGAATTATTTGTGGTGCTGGATTCAGTCATGGGAAATCCTTGACTACTGCTCAGTACAGTAACATGTGTAGTTCTCATAGACAAGTTGGCCAAATAGAAGAACTACCCATTAATTAATATGAAAGTGCACAAAACAAGTTTTACGAAGGATCCGTTAGGTGCCTCGTCTTCCTTGCAGTATGCAAGCACAGTGTAAAAAGGAAATACCTAGGGAAATTCACAAACAGGAAAAATAAAATTCACCAGTTGCCTGTCACGCTCCGTATACATTCAGTACTAGTCTATACAAATATAGTAGTATCTCTTTCTTGAAAGAGGGACAAAACACTTACTGAATATGACCTTGTTAGTGGCAGTATCACAAAAAAGGGAAAATATCCAAAACAACTTAATCCACATTTAATCCATCCAGCAATGCCAACACAAGGTATGCCTCATTCTGACTACTTTATATGAAGTTAATGTCCATCATCTGATTAATTATATGACTTTTCGTCTCCACTCCTAGAAGTGTCATACTAGATAAAAGCTTACTGAACTTTCTAGGCTGGCATGGATATATTCCAGAAATATAGAATCACATTCCAAGATATTGTCAGAACAGAGTAACACAACTGTAGTGAACCATATGTGATTTTGGGTATGAAACTATTATCTTGAGAGCCAATTTCTCTCAGAATTCTGGCAGAAACCAAGTGTTTAGGCAGCTCAGGTCCCAGAAAATCAGAGGCACTGACCCCAGTAATGTGTCAAATCGCCCACTTTTGCCTTCTTTCTCCCTGTTAAGTCCCAGGAGTCTAATCTTGGATTTGTTCTCTTTGTTATGATGGTCCTGATGATCTGATTCAGTCTCAGTTCCCTTTTGTTCCACTACATTTGTCCTGCCCAATTACTAGAGCTCAAACATTTTTCCTGATTTGTTTTTTCCACCCCAGTTTGCCCATTTGACAGAGCTTTGTGTAAAGGTGTACCTCTGTATTGATCGATTTCACTTCTTCCTGGTCTCATGAACAAGAACATGATATCACACACTCAAGCACTGTTCTGGAAGAGCTTATAATGCACATACTTCTCCAGGCATTTTAAGAGTCTGCTTAACAGTAACAGCAAGTCATGAAGTGTTGCTGTTTCAGTATGTGTGGCTTGGAAAGTCTCCTTCCCCAAACTACTGCAGGGAGGCAGAATGGAAAGTAATGAAAAGCAAGGTCATGTTGGTTTTAACCACCCCTCTTTACCTTACAATGGATCCAGAAGAAAGGTGGAAGGAGATGCACTTAGGCTCATGATCACCACCAGATCTTTTAATGGGTCTGAAGGAGTTTGGATGCCTCCATAGACCTCAAGGTGGCGAGACGAACCCCTTCACAGAGCTGGGAAGCACCGAAATTAGTGTAAAATAGTAATGGGGGGGGGGGGCCTCCATTTCCTGGTGGAACCCTTAATAGTCTCTGGAAGCCAGCATGGAAGTGGGAGCCTTGGGGGGGATTGCCACCTTTACTTCTCATCCTTTTAGCAGGAAGGAGATGATGAAGTGATTGCCATGAACTGCAGCAGTGCACAGTAGCAGGGAGAAAGACCAGTATTAGACAGGGGGTGGATAGTTGGCCACATCCTCTGAGCTCAGAAGGCAGCTGAAGTACTGGGGTGGGATTGAGGGTACGTGGTGACTTTCCTTCTTGAACTACTCTTCATGGGAACCTTAAAAGTAGCAGGATGGCTAGCAGCCTGGGGGAGACTATTGATAACATATGTGCATAGTAGAGAACTTACAGCTCCTGGGCATGTACATTAATGCTCGTTAGGCCTCTGCATACTCTCCTGCTGTTTGTGAGTTGCATGCAGCAGTAGAGGGTGAAAAAATATTGACACAGGAAAAACGTGATTGAAAGAGAAAATGTGGCAAGTTTGGGAAATTGACCAGATTTTAAGGTGTCCATTTAATGTTGTGCAGGATATGCTACAAGCTGCCAGCCAGTATCGCCAGTCTAGAGCCTCTTTATATAAAACAGGAGAGCTCCCGGAAAGAGAACCTGAATATGTTCCATGGACAGGTGAGAATAGTGAAAATGTTAGGCAAATTAATATCGGTTTTAAAACATTAACAAATACTGTTCATGTGTTTCAGAACATTTGACTGTATCCTCTGAAGTCTCTGTGTTAGCTCGAACTGTGAATATTAAACTGGACAGTGCTGTTATGCGCTATTCTAAGCTTGTATGTAGATATCCATATGGATAGTAGAACCTAATGGTTTAGTTTATTGATGAATGGTTGGTTTCTCTATTACTGATGATATTCCTTTAAGCTTGTTGCACTGGATACTGAGACTCTGACTACAAAACAAAGGTGCCAAAAGTTGGGAGGCAGGACTAATTTTTGTTTTTAGGGTGTCCTGATTCCAGCTGACAAGATCATGATTTTTTTGTGTAACTTTCAAATGAAGCATAAAATGCTCTGTTTAACACAGGCAGATAGTGTTCAGGGCTCCCTGTCAAGAGTAAAAAACTGACAGTTGCCCACTTTGCTGCTTTGTTGAGTATTTGTGCTTTGCTACTTGAGGATGCAATGCTGTGAAAACTTGTCAGAACAAGTTTTGTTTTGTAATGTAAACATTTTAAAGTTTTTCTTCCAGCTTTTGTCCATGTGGACCCCTCTAATGGTATGCGTGTGCCTCATGTACCCAAAATCAAAATCTTCCGAACAGCAGGATGCGTTGGCGTTATGTCTGTCCTGCATGTCATGGTGACCCCATGTCCAAGGGCATATATAGATCAGATTGGCTTTGATCACCTCTGTTCCCACTTCCCATCCCTGGCAGCAAGACTTATCTCTGTGGTGTCTTCTGCACTCTGCCTCATAGTGCCTTTTCTTCTAAACTGATAATGAAGGTAGCTAGTCTAGTTAGTTTTTTTAAGGTGATATTTTTGTCCTGTTGGCAGTCCATTAAGTGTTCTGTTATTTTAATATATTAATTTTTTTCTTCTGACTACTATGAACTGAGATCTCTCCCTGCTTAATGGCTAAGACCAAACCATCTGGCTTCGAGCCATGCCCATCACATAATGGACTCAGTCTGCTAACTGGTTGGGCATGGTAGATAACTCTTGGTTGGCCCACAGCCATGTCCTGGATCATTGCTCTGTATGCAGGTCCTTCTCCATCAGAACCACTTCTCCGTAGATACTTAGTTAAAATTCTGCCTGTTGAAGCAGTCCACAAGATTCTGAAAATGCTTCTCAAACTCCAAAAAGGGATGCTCTTCCCAGGGATACCCATCCTTCAGCACCCCTTGGGGTATGTATACTCCCATTACCTGAATCAAGAAAAGGGCATCAGTCCTTTCAGCTCCTCTCGACACTCCAAACCGATTTCAGCACTGGCTGCACGCTTGGTGCCAAAGCCCTGTATCACTTACACCACATCAAGGCAGGGCAGATCTGAGCTACTTTCTAAGGATGGCTTAATGTGGCAGTCCTCTTTCCCAGAGAGAACAAAAAAAACAAAACAAAGTCATGGGTTTTCTGACTCTTGTTAACTGACCCGAAAAGTCTAATCAGTTCAGACTGCCTAGCATGAGCAGATTCTTTGCTCCACCCAGCTCCAAGCAAAATCAGGTCCACTCCCAACACCAAAACTCATTACTGGCAATGACTCCTTGTTGTCACCAAGACCCTTGGTACCAGACCCAATACTGATACAAAAATCTTCAACAGTACCAGCAGATAGTTCAACTACAGACCTTGAGCCACCAGCACCAGCTTGGTTACCAGTGCTACCAGCACTGACTTTCCCAGTATCAAAAAGAATCAAGCCTTCAACACCAATATTCTCCATCTCATTAGAGAGAGGTCATAACCACCTGTAGGACAAATATACTCTTCTTCCTCTTCTCCCACCCCTTCTTTCTTGATAGCATCAAGCAAGGACCCTTCTCCAGATGTTCAGATCTCCTCCCTCAACCTGTTCCTTGGCAAACATCACCTTTGAGCCTCAGCACCTACCCAGCTCTATCCATTTGGCTTTATTGGGCATTCTGGCACTGCTCTAGGATCTACTCACACTCTTCCTGCAAATGACCTAGATCATCTTCCTCAGTTTCCCTTACTAGGCCAGTCAGCAAAGCAGGTCTCCAGAGGGAACAAGGGGGGGAAGCAATGTGAGGAGGAGGAAAGGAGTAGGAGGAAGACAAGATGAAAATACTCGTTTTAATGTGATGAATGTTGTTACTGTTAAAGTTCTATGCTATGGGAGAAGATATAACATTTATTCTCCTCCTCGCTCTTGCAACCTCTGCTGCTCTGATCTCTAAGTCACTTGTTAGTTTGATTCTGTTCTCATGTATATTTGCTGCGTCTCCAGTAGAAGTGTTTACTTGGCACAGGTTAAAATCTCTGGAAGCCACTGAAGACTTGTTTGTCAGGGCACCAATCAGTGAAGCTGAATTAGCAGTGGCATGAATAGTAACTCTGGGAAATAATTTGCGGGTTAAAGGCTCTGTGTGTTGGAGTGCGCTATGTTGATGCATGCAGAACCTTGTGACAAACAGTTTGGTAGACTAAAACTTGACAACCACTGTCCTGTAGTAGTTAGAGCTGTTTGCAGTGCCTCATAACAAGGATCTCAGAATATTTTCTGATCTTTATACTTCTTAAAATTAAATTGTTAAAATAAAACAGATCCAGAAAAATCCCAATATAAACTTTTCATTTTTTTATTGATTGGATTGAAAGAAATCTTTTTTCCTACTGCTCATCAAATCTCTTGTAATCAGTTACAATTTTAGTATGTGTCAGTGTCAGCATGTCAGTCTATATTTATGGTATGTAAATTGGTTGATTACTTAAAAGCAAAATTGCTTTAGTTGTACTTGGTTTTTATTGTACGTATGGCATAAGAAGTTAGGGGCTCAGAGTTAACCTGTGGATAAAATGGGAAGGATAGAATTAATGCTTAGTATTAATAATATAAAAGAAAAATGGGAATATTTAAAGAAATAGCTAATTTCATTGCAACTTTTTTCTGGGTCGCTGACAAATTCAGATTTGAAATTTGCAATGTGATAGTGCATTCTATACTGAGTGTTTCAGGTGTTTTTTATATTTTTTTCTCCATATTTTCTGTTTCCCCAGTGGTATTTGAGTCACACCAACAGCGGTGTACATAGCCATCACAGCTCTAAATAAGACATTTCCAGCTCCCAGGCCCTCTTCCACTCAAACAGGTTCCTAGCTACTTGTCACAGAAGCTTATGCACCTCCTGTTCCATCTGCTCTGGCCTTCCAGTACATTCCTGCTTTGTTGACGAGAACTGAGGGGCAAAAGATTCCTCATTCACTTTCCTTCTGGATCTGTGGAAGGACTCCCCCTGCTATTTGTTGACCTTTGGATAATTCTCAAGAGGTGTTAGCTGGATCCTGTTGTATTCCCCCAGCTCTATGGAAATGTCCCAAGAAAAAGCTCCCTCCCTAGCTCATGTGTGCACACTACTTCCCTACTGTTTAGTTCTGTCTAGGGATCACAGAGAGGGGAGGAACATCTTTTCTGCCACTGCTTTCTTTCTTACTTTTGCTCCTGTGGGATCTTTACATTGTGTATAATTTAAAAAAAATTAATATAGAACGTCAGAAACGATACCATTTATACCAATGAAAAATAGCGAAAAAGCAGCAGCCAGCTGAACTAAGACAGCAGCAGCTCCACTTTTGTTTTGTTCCCTTTAAACACCCTCTGGGGAATTGTGTACATGTGGGTTCCCAGAATACTGTACCAGTGTGATAACGTCTCATGCTTTTCCAGTGCACATGCAGGCACTGACAGAAGCACAAAGTAAACACTGAAAATGTGAGAAACACTACAATCTTTTAGATATCTTTTGCATGTGGTGGTGTATCTCTCTCTTTAATGCCTATAATTGTGCTCCCTTCATACTATCATAATATATAAAGTCACAAGCTAATTATAGAATCTAATTTTTTTAATGTTTACTATTTTTTGTCTTTCCAAGCATCTAGTGGTCCAGCTGGCATACGAACAGCAATAATACGTCAGCATGGAATTATTCTGAAAGTTGTTTATCCTCAAGTGGACAGTAACCTCCGTAGCATTGTGGCTGAACAGTTGGTGGCGCTGCTAGATTGCTTTCTAGATGGCTTTGTTTCTCAGCTTAAATCTGTGGACCGGCCTGCTGATCAAGATAGATACAATAATCTAGAAATGGAATATATCCAGAAAAGATCGGAACTTTTGTCTCCTCTTCGTAAGTGATGATCTCTTTTCTTTAGTGTAAGGATTAACCATTCATCTAGGAAACAATGCATGGAATGTTTGGATCCAAGCAAATACAGAAAGTAAAAAAAAAATTAATGTTCCATATCTAGAGTAAAATGACATTTCTATGCAGCGTATTAGTTGTTGGTTTGTTTGTACTATTTAATGGGGAATTTAGCTATAGAAATAGATTGACGAAAATGGAATTCTTATTTTAGTGATCCTAAATCAAACCTATGTAGCAGACAGAAGTCTCCTTCCTGAATTGTAAAATCAGTGCATTCTTTCCAATTACTTATTGCATAGCCTGATGCCAGGAACTTGATATGACTTGACAGTGTTGGATGAAAATAGCTTTAAAATATATTTCTAAGTAAGTCTACTTTGTTGCTACTTAGCTATAGATCTGTTTGAATATTTATCAAGTGGTACATTCATCTAACAGCATAAATATTAATTGTATAATGTTGATTATATATGATTTTAATAATCCTAGCTTAACTTGTCATTGATGTAACCAAAATATTTTGGGTTTAATAATGTAATCTTGGAAACAGTGCTCACTTACCAAATATTGTGCTACCTATTATAAGTTTATGAACCTGATGTTTTTTTAGGCTTAAAATGAATTAAATTAATAGAACAGTTGAATATTAAATCCATGAGCTTTTAATATTATAATTAGGGAAGTCTTTGTTAAGTAAAGAAATTGCATGTGTTAGTCTTTTTATACTAACCTACATATATTCTGTTAGCGTGTAAATATATACAAGCTCTGTAGCATTGTATTCAGTTTAAAGCTTTAATTTCCTTAGCAGCACACTGATGGCCCTTGAATCTCATTTCTCTTGACTTTACTTGGATCAAAATAGAAGTGACCAGTAATATATTGTATATATAAATCTAGTAATCCTTATAATTGATTTCTACATTGACAAAATGTCTTGTCTTGTTACTTTCTCACTTTTGGTGATGCCTGATTATGAACTGTAAATATTTATGAAAGCAAAGAATTTCAAAGGTGCAAATGGGAGTGGTGTGCTTACTTTCAGAGGTAGCTGGGTGCCTAACAGGCCTGTGTGGCTCTGAAAATCTCCCTGGATTTATTGTGCTACTTACTATCTATATTATACGTGTTTGCATGTTTACATAAGCACGCACATCAGTTGTGGTTTGAAAGCACAAATGAATGCATACTTGATTTACAACTATTTTTCTATTGGAGGGATTTTGAATTATTTTTTTTATTGTGATCCAAGACAGCATGCATCCTCTTACAAAGAATGTGTTTGATTGACTTGTTTCTCTTTTGGGTTCCCTAGTTTCCCTAGGACAGTATCAGCTGGCAGCTGCTTTAGCAGAGAAGTATTGTGACTTTGATATCTTGGTACAAATGTGTGAGCAGACTGATAATCAGGCCAGACTACAACGTTATATGACGCAGTTTGCAGATCAGGTAACTTTTTTCTCACTCGTTTAGACATTGTTCTGCAGTAAGATCGGATATAAATCATTGCCAACAAAACACTGATGGTAATTTTAGGCTTTCAAAATCCAGTTAATAGACTTTGATATCTTAGGTCATTTTTATATTTAAAAAATTCTTTTCCTACTCTTTTGATTCTCCAAAGATTCTTTTGAATCTTGTTGAACAAAAAGATTTGTATCTAGAAATGGGATTTTAACTTGTTTAGTGGGTGATTATCCCTCTTCTGATATTCTGTTAGCTTCAGGATATGAATTTAAACTGGAGATTCAGTAGTCAGTTTAGTTACTACTAACAATTTTTAACTCTTTTTTTCTATCTTCTTTAGTCATTTTCTTCTGAGTCATTTTGGCAATAAAGTAAAATGTTTTAAATTGTTTGACTCACCTGTACTACATAACATATGTTCAATCCTAATCTATTTCTAAGTCTTGCAAGTACATGCACAAGGTAAAGTGACTTGTAGTGTTCTGGAGTCTTCTGTCTTTGCAAGTGTGTGTGAGACTTCCACAATCATGCATCTAATTTAAAGCCTTATAAAAAGATGATTCTTTATGGTGGTTTTATATATCACACCGAAAAGATACAAACAAAAGAATCCTTTTGTTTTTATTATAACTGTTGAGTTAGAAATAATTTGGTCAAAATATAGTAAAACTCTGTGTGTGGTAATCATAAGCAGTGTGTACACAGTTTGTTGAAATTTGAGAATTAATAGATCACAGTCTTGAATGCATTTTATGGACAATGATTCTGCATGTGAGAATAATTCATAACAAGGGGCAAAATTCTCCACTCAGATCCCTATGGCAGACTTCCAAACTAATATTCTACTTTCCCTGCCTACTCAGATTGCTTATTGATGGCAATGAACTTTCCAAGAGTAAAGAGCAAAGATGTAATCTGTAACAACTAAAGTTCATACTAATGATGTTCCTTTTGAGACCAAAATATTGAGTTGCTTATAGATTAAAATATGTAGAGAATGGTGTAGATCCTCTTCCATAGACACTTATATTTTTGATCAAAACACTAGCTTTTTCACTAGGATTTTGTTAAACACTTTTCCCTCTGGTTTTGTTGAGCAGGTAAATCCATGTTCTAACCACCTGTGGTCTGTATAGCATTTGTGTTGAAACTAAATTGGACACAAAAACTGACTTCGGTTTTTAACATGTGTTCATCTCCTGTAATCTTTAGAATTTTTCAGATTTCCTGTTTCGTTGGTACTTAGAAAAAGGAAAGCGAGGAAAGCTGTTATCTCAGCCTATTGCTCAGCATGGACAGCTGGCCAGTTTCTTGCAAGCTCATGAGCATCTCAGTTGGTTACATGAAATCAATAGTCAAGATCTGGAAAAGGTAGGATTTCTTCATATAAAATTAATTGAAACGTTTGTTTTAAAACTAACAATTTGTTGAATACACATATAAGTGTAAGGGTGTACTAGTCACGACTCTTTGATGTCACTGACTAATATTTTGGATAAAGAAAGCTTTTATTATAACAACACCCTTCCCACCTTCAATTAAAGTAAAAGCGTTCACAATGAATATTTCCTAACGCCCTCAATAAGTCTTCCAGCAAAATCAGGGAAACCCAAAGTTGACATTCTTGATGCTTTAAAACAGGGGTCCCCAACGCGGTGCCCGCGGGTGCCATGGCGTTTAAGTGCGCCCGCGTATTGGCCGGCTGACAAGCATCTGCCGAAATGCTGCCGAGACCTTGCTGCTTGTCGGCAGCATTTCGGTGGAAGCTCGTCCGCCGCCACGGTCCTCCGTGGCTCGTCATCTGGCACCCGCCAGACGAAAAAGGTTGGGGACCACTGCTTTAAAAGGTGGTAAATCTGTTGTTGTGTTTGTTTTTGTTTTTAAATCATCCTTTCCAACTTTTTTTATATATCGTAAAGTAGCAGTGGGAGTTAATTTACTTTGTTTTTCTCTGGGTAAAACATTAACATAAGATGTTAATATTTTTTGGAAAATACAACTGATGTCCTATTCACATGGACTGAAACTTTTCTTTTCAAAGTAAAGCATAGTGAATAGAGGAGCAAGGAACCCAGAAAAGAACTGAAAGTGTCAGACTAATTTCTGAATTAATATATTTTCATACCAGAATTTTTCCACTCCCATGTCTGACATACCAGATGTATAGGCAAGGATTCACTTGTTACCTCAGAACTGTACATAAATTTCAGTTTCTAGCTAAGTAAACATTCTTGAAGTAACAAGTGAATCAGTCTGCATGTCAAACTGCCCCTTTAAGCTCATTCTGATCTGGTATTTGTGCTTATTTGAATAAAGTCAGTGCTTTAGTGTGTAAAGTAGTAATTCATCTGCTTACTTGATCCTTTGATCATGTGACAATTTTTCTTGACTAGCAATGAAACACACATTTAAATTGTTGGACATTTGGTATAGGAATAAAGATCTGTCTTATCTCTGTGGGCTGAAACGGGGTAGGTATAATTGTTGGATGCCAGGTAATTCTATTTTAGAAATTACTAAAAAATATTTAGAGAAACAAGAAAAATGGTAGGCCAGCTTTTACTAATTATTTATCTTTCTGCCAACTCAGCCCACTGTTTAGTCAGAGGTTTTATTTACATACCTTAGGGGAACACTGTGATCAAGACCAAGCAAAATAATCATAACTATTAACCATGGCTATCTTATTTATTAAAGAAAGCATTAAACTAAACAACACAAATGATTGACCACAAATAATAAACTTCAGTTTGTAATCGCTTCTGTATGTCTCTCTATGGAGAGCTTTTAACCGCGATTAGGCCCTTGAGAGTGAACCACCGCTGGGGGGCGCTTTTCTCTTGATAAGTTGAGATGAAATTTGTGAACTCAGTTTTAGTATCTTATTAGATACTTAAAACTGTTTATGCATGTGACGGGGTTCCCGGAGTGCAACCTGGACTGTGGGACCACTGAGCCTTCTGTCCCACCAACGTGGGCTGCCTCTTATACTATGATCTGTTGGCAAGCTCCAAACCTCTGGCAGGTACATATGGCATATATCACATTGGTAGATGTGCAGGTGAACAAGCCCCTGATGGTGTGGCTGATGTGGTTAGGTCCTATGATGGTGTCACTTGAATAGATATGTGGACAGAGCTGGCATCGGGCCCGCTGCCATCATGTGCCAGCAATGCCCCTCTGCCATGTACATTGGCCAAACTGGGCAGTCTCTACGCAAAAGAATAAATGGACACAAATCTGACATCAGGAATCATAACATTCAAAAACCAGTGGGAGAACACTTCAACCTCTCTAATCACTCAGTGACAGACTTGAAGGTGTCAGTTTTGCAACAAAAAAACTTCAAAAACAGACTCCAAAGAGAGACTGCTGAACTCGAATTAATATGCAAATTAGACACAATTAACTTAGGTCTAAACAGAGACTGGGAATGGTTGAGTCATTACACTAATTGAATTTTTTTTCCCCCATGTTAAGTTCTCCTCACACCTTCTATGGGTCATCTCGATTATCACTTCAAAGTTTTTTCTTCTGCTGCTACTGATAGCTCATCTCAATTGATTGGCCTCTTACAATTGGTATGCGTACTTCCACCTTTTCATGTTCTCTGTATGTATAAATATCTTCTATCTGTGTGTTTCACTCTATGCATCTGAAGAAGTGAGCTGTAGCCCACGAAAGCTTATGCTGAAATAAATTTGTTAGTCTCTAAGGTGCCACAAGTACTCCTGTTCTTTTTGCTATTTAAGGAGCTGCCTTTAAAACAGGCTAATTACAAATATTAAGAATCTTAAATCTGGTTACATTCCACTATTTATCGGTTTACCAATACTTAGTCCCGGTTTCCTTTCCAGGAATACGTGGTTTAAGCACTTGGTGATTAGCAGGAGAAACTGTTAGCCGTTCAGCGTTTCAGCATTTTGATATTCCAACAAAATCATTACAAGAGTTTTAAATCTAATCCCTTGGCAGTTTATTAGTTAAATTCCTCTCATCAATCCACGTTGAAGTCTTGGGGAGGTTTTCCATAGTTTGGTTTCTTCTTGAGTCTTCTCTGTTTTTTTCTTATCTGTCTGTGGCAGCTTGTTTATAGAGTGCTGTGTAACCGAGGGTCTGTTGAGCAGGATAACACAGGGTGTGTGGGGGGGTATGTGCTCACTTCTGAGTTTTTATACCCTTTTCCCTGCTGTTTTCATGAAATTATAGGAAAACACATCACTTTCAGGCCTGTTTAGATTCGAGTCAGTTGCTGTCTTTTCATTGGCTTCATGCCTTTGGGGTTGGCCTAGGTGACCCTTTCAGCTCCTGAAATATGCAGTCTGTTTAATGAATATGCAACATTTCTTTAATTGCCTTTGTTCTTGTAACAGGAAACCATCAGATAACTAGCTTCGAAAGTGTTAATTCTCTCTTTTTAATCAGTCCATTCTAGATCTGTAATGTCTGTTCTGAGATATTCTTTCAATTTTATTAGTTTGATGGGAAATGAAATTGTTTTCAAAAAGTCCAAACACTTCTAAAAGAGATCTTTTTAGTTCTCAAAACAGTATTTTAAAATTAAATAACTTTCAGAAGTCTTCAGCTTAATTTGTTGATTCCATATGACAGTTTTTGGAACTGTGATTTTCTTGTCTTCCTGCATTGGGTGAGGGTTTGTTTCTGCACTGCTGCTAATTAATTAATTCCTCATTAATATAAATATTCTATACTTAAATGTCTTCTTACACTAGTTTAGCAAGGTCATTACATTTCATGTCGGTACGTAAAGCATTTAACTGTTTACGCAGCAATGACATCAGGAGCTATATTAGGACTATTGCATTTAGCTAACATTTGCAAGTCTGCATTTCACGAAGGTGTTTGTCATTTCAGCATTAAGAAATAAACAAAAGTTTAAAATATCTCCAACATCATATGTTTTTTGCTAAAGTTTTTAAGAACACAAGCAGGTTTTCTTGCAAGAGGGTGGGGTTAGTAAAGCCCACTTTACCAAGATTAATTGATCGGATAACACACACCCTGCATTTCTTTCACAAGCAGGTTATTTTCCTAAAACGTGAATGCTTACGTTATTTGTCTGCATGTAATTTGCTTGTTGTTAGAAGATAGAAGCAGAAATCTTTGGAATTTCTCTGATTAGCTTTAACATTTTGTAACATAACTAGCTAAACATATGTATTGTTACATTTCCAATCATCCTTGCAATAACATTCGTGTAGCTATATGTATTAAAAGACGCAGACAAGTTTGTAACAACTTAAAAAAATTAAGTTACAATAATTTTATTAATATCACTTTTGCATCAATACTGAAGTCTTTTTGCCACATGTCCTAAACAGCAAAATGCAGAACTTCAATTTCCAAGTTGTGCGACACTTTTTTTTGGAGAGTTATAGCCTATAAAATCTTGGGGGGAAGGGGTTTAAAGAAAAAATAGCCATAAGGGTTTAGTTCTAAAGGAGTCCATCTATTCTCTTTCTCCCTGTGCCTTCGATGTTATTTCTAATACCCTTCTTAATTTTAGGCTCACAGAACGCTGCAGGCTTTGGCAAATGTGGAGACCAGATATTTTGCAAAAAAGAAAACTCTTCTTGGCTTGAGTAAACTAGCTGCATTGGCATCTGACTTTTCAGAAGACTTATTGCATGAAAAAATAGAAGGTAAGAAATAAGAGCAGAGCAAAGAGAACAGCAAGATAATGGATTTCTTTAATCAGAATCTTGTTAGTGTTACATATGGTAAAGTTAAATCCTTAGTGCTGGGCCTTTGGACGTTTTCACCATCAGTGTTGTCTAGTGTCACTGGAAAATTTGGACCCTAGTTCAAGGGTGTATAGTTATTTTTTAAAAGGCACTATCGGCTATTCTGGTAAATAGGTTAATAAAACTACTGCAATTCAAAAAAAACAAAACCTCAAAACCACCTCTGATCATTTCTTGGAGCCTGATGGTGTATGGTGTTGACTGCCTTTGGAGTTGAGGTTACATGGTGGTACATGCCCTCATCTACTTGGAGGAGAAAGCCTTGGCAGCTTTAAAAGCCTTCCAGTTTTCCTTTATTAGTATATTTGCAATGTGAAAGTCTAAACATGTGTACTATTAACTTGGGTTGTCAATTTTTTTTTAAATATGTCACTTAATTTTTTTTGGTAAGGAAATGGTTTCATAACCATGGGGGGAGGGATAGCTCAGTGGTTTGAGCATTGGCCTGCTAAACCCAGGGTTGTGAGTTCAATCCTTGAGGGGGCCACTTGGGGATCTGGGGCAAAAATCAGTACTTGGTCCTGCTTGTGAAGGCAGGGGGCTGGACTTGATGACCTTTCAAGGTCGCTTCCAGTTCTAGGAGATAGGATAACGCTTTAATTCAAAACACATTGAGGCTGAGAGCACCTGTCCCCTCTCCAAGTGGCTATACAGGTCCTGCAACCTTGCCCCAGTTTTCAAAGTGTAATATACCTTTCCAGTGATAGTAACTATTGCTGCATCTTTACTACCAGATTGTGGAAAGGCTCATGAAAGATTCGTTAGGAGTAGCTGCTGTAATATTGCCGACCAGGGGGAACATTACAACATACTTCACACAATCCCTAATACAATAGTATTTTGTTTATTTGTTTTAGTACCTATTTATGGCTGTTCTTGAATCATCCCTTTCCTGTTATTATCTGTGTTTTTAAACTTAATGACAGTTCACTGAATATCAACACTATTGTCATCTTAACTTTCATTCTTAATTAAAATACTCAGACTGGGGACATATAAAGCTCCTTATTCAGATTTTGTAGGGAGGTGAACAGTAATCTGTACAACCCAAAGTGAAATAATACTAAAAATTACAAAGGATATTAATGGTAACTAAGCAGACTTTTTGAAACTGTGTCCTTCAGCTTTTAATATGTTTAATCTCCTACATAAACTTTTTAAATAAAATAAACTGGCAGCATCAAATTTTGAAGTTAAAAAGTCATATTTTTCACATTGGGGAAGCAGCCACTCTGGAGACATATAGCCGATGTGAAGAAACGCCTTCAAAACGTAATGATGAGAGCCTCAAATGAGTGAGAGAGAATGGTCTTGTGGTGAAGAGTTAGGAACTCAGGAGATCTGGCTTGAGTTCCCGGTTTTGCCAGAGACTATCTATGTGACCGTGGGCTAGTCACATAATCTCTCTATGTAAAATAAGGATAAGCTGTCCTTTCTCCAACCTTTGTCTTGGCTATTTAGACTGTACTCCCTTCAGAACAAGAACTGCCTCTGTACAGTGTCTAGGACATCAGGGCCCCAGTCTCAGTTGGGGAGTCTGTGTGCTTCTGTAATCCAAATAATTTAAAAAAACCTAAATAAACACATTCTTTAAGACAAATAACTTTGTAAACCTGAATAGTTTTGTGACTAGTCAGAATTTATTTGTATGTTTAATGATCACAATATAAATAATAATGTGAAATATTCTTCCCCCTAACTAAATGCAAGAAATATCAGAACAGGAGCGTTTTCTGTTACATCAGGAGACCTTACCTGAACAACTGCTGGCTGATAAACAGATGAACCTCAGTGTCATGCCTGTATTGACTGCACCTCAGCTTATCGATGTATGTACCTCAAATTTTCTTAGCTAAAGTTTACCTATTGTGCTGCTATTTTCCACAGAATTGGTGAGAAGATCAGAATTGAACTGTCTTCTTGTTATTTAAAGGATGGTTTTCCATCCCACCCTCAGTCGTAAAATATGAATTGGTTATTTATACTTAAGCCTCCATTATGGCTTATGATTAAACTTCAAGGTATTGCTTCCAGTTCCTGCTTTAGCTTCCTGGTTGAACATGTGCACTACCATGATGCATGGAGCAAATCAGAACAGCATCAAGAGCTGAGCTGTTGTATTGGGGCACTGTGTGGATACATGGTAACTTGGAGTCTGGCTTAAGAGGCAGAACTTGCCACCCTTTGGAAGACAGGGATGTTGCAAAGTGGAAGAGGGGGGAGGGCTGCAACCAGGAAGGAGGGATTTTGATGACCAGCTGCACCGAGAGCCAAGAGAAAGTCTTTGATCCCCTACAGAAAATCCAGCCAAAAATCTGACAGAGCTGACTTTCTCTTCTTTGTCCCTCACTTTTTTTTTTGCAGTAGTAGCTACAATCACAAATTGCCTTACCAGTTCCTATGTCCTTTAGATAGCATGATCTTTTCATCTGCTTCTCTTTTACCACCCACTGATGTGTGCAGAAAGTAATAGAGGAATGCATGGTGGCAGCATGTTGCTACAGTCACCATCAAAAGAAACCAGAACCTATCAGTGATGTCTTTTCTGGTATTCATTGCTCTCTGTACAGCCTCTACAAAAGAAGCAGCAAGTTGCACATTCTGTCATTACTGTCCCTCTATCTTCTTGGACTTGCCCTAGTAGTTACCAGGTTCTGAGTCCTCTGCCCACACCTTAAAGTAGGCTAGTTAGGGGGAAGAGGGAGAGGAGAAGATATCACATAATCCCTTTTCAAGCAGTTGGGACACTGTCAGCCATCCAGTTTTCCTCTAATAAGTTTCTGCTACCATCAGATCAGTGTCTTTAGTCACTGTTTACAACCAGGAAGTGAAAATCAGGGGCTGGGAACAAAATATATTAGTCTTAATCTTAAATTTCAATGTATGGAAACTTTATATTAAAGGGTGAGTTGGCAAAATATGTGTCTGCAGTTTTAAATGGAAAAGGTTGATTTTGAATTTTGATCGCAAGCATGTCTGTTTTCAGGAGACAAACGATAGTGCATGCATTTGTATATTGCTGTGAGCTCGTTTTATTTGTGGAGCTGAGCTCTGGCTACAATAGGCTAGGAATGTTGCAGCCTTAAACGGCATTTAAATTTGAAACCTGTACTATAGCAGCCTTATATCCAATATAGTCTTTCCACAGACCATTGTCATGTGGGTAGAATGCTAGTCTAAAACCTTGACTGTATTCCTTACCATAAAAATACTTGCAGCCAAATCAATACATATTTCAATGAAAAGGTCACATAAGTGGAAAATACGTGGTGGTCTTCCCACAGAGTTCTTCACAATATCAGTTTACATCAGTTTGCAAGCTAAAAATAATTCTGTACTTAATCTTTTCATACCATAGCTGTACATATGTGATGAGAACAGAAGAGCTAATGAGTATGACTTCAAGAAAGCACTGGACCTGCTGGAATATATTGATGAGGTAGGAAAACTGGTTGGATGATCTCAGAATCAGAGGAAGTATATTTTAACTTCTCTGAGCTGGCGTTATTACTGTAACTTGAGGGTTACATACTGGCCCTTGGTGCCCACCAATGGAAGTGACCTTTTCTAGTTTTTCAATCTTTGGAGATATAATGTCAAATGTGGTGTAGGTCAAAGTAACTGGTTTAGATCATAAGTGAAATAACACTTACCCTTGTAAACTGCAACAGGGTAGGCCATCTGTGTTAGATTGAGAACCTTGCCAGTCTAGAATTTGTCACCAAACAAGAAGGGGGCGGAGGTGTCCATCAGTTTTAGGAAAACAATACTCGTCCACTATTATTAGTTTATCTGTGTGCCAATAAATAATCCAAAATGAATCTGCCATGCCTCCTCAAATTGACAAGACTACTTTGGCCTACGTCTGTGGTTTTTATCATTATGATAGTACTATTTAGGGCATAAAGCTTGCTGTCTTAAGCTTGCATCTTTGAGAGGTCATCATTTCTCCTTGCACACTCTTATTCCCTGTTTGCTGACCATTACTTCTGACAATTGCTTCTGACAATTACTTCTGGCAATTGGCAGTGCCAAAAATCAGCTCTCCAGGACCATCACTCCTGAGCAGCATTCTTCAACCAAAAATAAAAGCCATGTCACTTCAGAGAAGTGTTATTTCCAAAGTATCTAGGAAAGGTTGCTACAGAAGTGCTGGAAAGCATTTCTGTGCTTCTTCTTGGAATGGGGAGAATCATCTCTGATGTTCCCAGCTCTTCCTAGTCTGGAGGGAAAAGGCTCCATCTTGAATCTACTGTATGATAGTGCTTTGTGCTACAATAAGGCCATTGTGTTGCCCAACAATAACTTTGCTGGTCACATAGTTATTAAATTTAGATTATTTAGACCTTAAATTATGGTCTTTTCCTTGTTAAAGTTCCTTTTTGTAATACCTCTTAAGTAATTCTTATTTGTGCATAAGTCTTATGTAGAAAATATTTGCTTGTATTTTGTGCTTTTTTTTACACATTATTGTATGTAATGGAGGAGGAGAAAAATGTTAATGTTTGGGACAGTGTATTGTATTGATAGACCCAGAATTAGTTTTCTTCCACTTTAAACAGAAAAATGTTGCTTAACACACATACCCTGATTTGACTGCTATATAAGAACTAAGTGTAAATAATAACATTACTTTGGGAGAGAATAGCAGCAAATGGGGTTACTGGACTTAGTTGCTACTCTTCTTTCATTTGTCATTGCCTTTTTCCAAGTTCCCACCATCCTTTATGAAAATAGTAATATAGTGTCATTTTAAGAAAATAAGATTTAAAAGAATCTTTCATTTAAATTAGAGAAACTTAGATGTCTGAGTAAGAATATACACTACAAATGGGAAAGCATAAATTAAACTAAAATTTCTGAGTGGACAAGGTCAGCCGAACTTAGGATTTCATCTGTATCACCCATGGAGAAGCATGATTGACAAGAGAAACTGCAGAATTTTGAGGCTAGACATGGGTTGCCTAATTGCTCTTGTTAGCTGTCCCAGTGACACTCTTATCTAACTGGCAAAAAGCTAATAGCACAAGAATTTTGCTCACACTCTTGCTTCCAGAATTCCCTCAGCCTAGATTTCTCAGTTTCTCCTGGGGGGGATTAAATAGCTGAGATGCCCAAGAAGGCTAATGGGAAAACAAATGGCCTTTTGTGGTGACAGCATCATTATCTGAGCAGGAAGGTCTCATGCCAAGCCTCTTAATATCTGTGCTAGAGGTCTGTCTGCACTAGGGTAAAGATGTATTTTAAAGACATGTTAGCTAACACATTTAAAAACCCTAATGTGGATAGGGTAAACTGTATTTTAACACGTGATAGTTATCTGGTCATGGTGAACACCTAGCTAGCATGTAAGACAACTTGCCCTGGGCACAGTAGGTTTTTCCAAACAGATTAGCTAACATGGATTTTAAAATATAGATAGAGATAGATATGGGGTTAGAGAAGTTCATAGCCTCAGCTGCAGATGGAGAGAAACAGCCTTCAATGGTTGAAGTCTGAGCCAGGTCAGCCCATGTTGTCCTAAAATAGGAGTTGCACTCAGACAAGTGATTCTCCCCTCCTTCACAGACTTACTTTTCCCTAATAGCCAAGGCCTTCATGGCTGCCAGAGTGCCAATGGGTAACCCCTCTTTGAGAGACATTATCTTAAACTTTTTGGCTTTGCAAGTCAAAGCTAAAGTCATTTCCCACTCTGTCTTCTCAGATGTCTTTAAACATCAAAGGGCATTTTTCCAAGGCATTACTTTAGAGCAGTGCTTTTCAAACTTTTTAGGCTGCATACCCCTTTCCAAATAATGTAGTCTAACCTACCCCCATCTGAGACAGGCAGAGGCGATGCATGGGGGGCATGCCCCCCAATTTCTGCCTTCCATTTAGCAACAGCTTCTAGAGGTGTTCAAACTGTGGGATGCAGAGTAACATTGGGGGGAGGGGCGGTGATGCCAGGCGGCTTGGGCCAGCCCCGCATAGCAGGGCTCAGGGAGGGAGTGCTACCTCCATCCCCTGACTCACCTCAGCAGGCCACCCAGCCTGGGTTGGGGGGAGGCGTAACCAAAAATTATAACTTGCGGCGGGAGGGGGTTCAGCTCAAAAAGTTTGAAAACCGTAGGTAATGCTCCCTTTTCAGTAGCTCAAACGTGGGACTGATATTTTCAGAAGGTTTTTATTTTTATTTTTTTATTTCTAATTTCTATCAGATGCTTTTAGGTCTTATTAGCTATTACTACTTTCTCAAATAGGTTTAAATAGGTGAAACCATCCTTAACTCTCTGACATATGAGCACCGAGATCTTTCATCTTTTTCATCTAGTAACTGTATCTCAACCAAAATGCAGTAATTTGTGGTTTCCTGAAACAGGTCTTTCCCACAAATGGGTGGCAGTTGAAAAACATGGCAGCCTTACCATAATGCTGTAATTGATTTTTCTATATTTATTAAGACCTACCTCTGCTAGTCACTGTTGGTTTATCTCTTAGGCCCTACTTATGTTCACATCACACTCTTCCATTGCTTGGGCTGTGCTGGTTGGCTTCTTAACTAGAGGACCTGTTTGTATTTGCTTTTATTTTGCACCATTTTTGCTGACTTTCCCACAAGTTTTGTTCTTTGTAATGTGTGCAAGCGTACAAAAAAAGTAGAACAAGGAATTGTGCATTGAATGTAGAGTAAGTTTCAATCTTTTCTCTCCTGTTGATTCTTTTCTGTTTTAGAAGACAAGATTATTTACCCTTTGCAAGCCTCTCAGATTTGGTGCTAACAATTGTCCTGATACTAGGGCAGTAGTGCAAAATTACTCAGGGTCAAATGATAATATATTGGCCAGTTAGATGGTTTGACAATGTAAGGGTATAACACAGCTGCATAGAAACATACATACATATTACAATGCTTACTTTCTGTCATACTGCATTGTGCTTATGCAGTACTGTTTTATCTGACAATTTCAAAGAACTAAGTCTCAAAACTCCTGTGAAATAGATCAGTAAAGTGAGGTACAGGGAGGTTATTGCTTATCTACAGTAAGCAGAGCTGAATAGAATTCAGAGGCTATGTGAAGCTTGCAGCCCCTGCATTTGTGAATCAAATGAACCAAATGACTGAATGAAATTTGGACAAATAGCAAGTTTTAGTAAGTTTTTGTGTCAAAACCATGTGAAATTACTGCATTTTACACTGTTTCCACCCCAAGTCATAACTGGGCTTCATTTCAGGTACCTGTCCCGAGTGTTGAAGTGGTAACAAAACTAGGCAGTTTTGCTTTGAGGGTTTTGAGAGATGTTCTGCTGCTTTGACCACTAGACGGTACTGCCTCTCTGCAATGAAGTAGACAAACAGGTTCCTATGTACTTGTTACCAATATCAATTATTCTTTTGTAAATAAGAGTAAAGAAAGCATCCAAGTCAACTCTGGGTTCTGGATGTGATGTGGTGGTTAGAAAAAAACCTTCATTTGTCTTTTTTAAAAAAAAACAGCAGTTAATATTAATTTTCCTTTTCTTTTTAAATTGAAGGAGGAAGAAGTGGATGTAAATGATCTTAAGCTTAAAATTCTTTGTAAAGCTCTCCAAAGAGACAGGTAGGTCATAACTGAACATACATGAAGTGTACAATTTTCTCTATTCATAGCATTGATTTTTCTTAATTGTAAATTTTTGTACTAATCTCCAGCGTCTAATATCAGATTGAATGTTCAAATGGTATGTATGTATGTTTAATATAGATTCTGAAAAGTCTGTCCAGAACAATGTGTGTTTTTAGAGGGAGGGGAGAGGTATCACTTACAAAGCTACTTCTGTAATAGTTTTTCCATTAAATCTTCTAGCTATTCTACAAATACTTTAAACACTTAGGGAATTAAAATGCAACTATGTGGTTTCTTGAATTTTCTTTTGCCCTTTAATGGGAGAGAGAGATGACAGGCTATGAAACTGGATTTTCTTCTTTGAGGCTAACAGCATATTTCCACTTGTGGAATAAGCAGATCCCAAGCTTGGAATCTTCTAGAGCAGTGTTTCTCAACGACCGGTCACAGTTTAGGAAGACAGCAAGCTGGTCCTTGGTATAAGGTAGAGAAACACTGTTCTAGAGAATTGTCCATTGACGCTACTGCTGGAGACTTTCATGTCACTTATGCTGGGCACAGAACTACTTTGACAAATTATTCTCCAGAGCCAGCAGTGCTGGATGTTCAGCTCTGGACTTAGTTGAGTTAGACAGCTCCGAGGACCTTGGTTCTGCTATGTTGGACCCAAACACTTTGGTAAGCTGTTCCTCACTTTGTAGTCAACAAAACAGGATCATTGGTACTGGAAGAGACCAGGGACCTAAATATTGTTTTAGCTAGCTATAGAGCCGCTTTGACTGATCGCCAAAGTCAGTGCTGGACACACCTTACTAGACTTAATCAACTGGATCTGAAGAGTTTCCCTCATCACCAGTGTTTGAGGCAACCCTCCTGCTCTTCACAGATCTGTAGATGAGCGGTTCTCAACCAGGGGTACTCCTACCCATGAGGGGTACACAGAGGTCTTCTAGGGGGTTCAACTCATCTACATATTTGCCTAGTTTTATACAAGCTACATAAAAAGCACTACTGAAGACAGTACAAATTGAATTTTCATACAATGACTTGTTTAGACTGCTCTATATACTATACACTGAAATGTAAGTACAAGATTTATATTCCGATCGATTTATTTTTTAATTATATGGTAAAAATGAGAAAGGCGGCAATTTTTCAGTAATAGTTGCTGTGACACTTTTGTATTTTGCTGTCTGATTTTTGTAAGCGAGTAGTTTAAGTGAGGTGAAACTTGGGGTAGACAAAACAAATCAGCCTCCTGAAAGGGGTACAGTAGTCTGCAAAAGGTGAGAGTCACTACTCTAGATGTATTGGAGCATAAGCTTTTGTGGGTGAACACCCACTTCGTCAGACGCATGTGACATGCGTCTGACGAAGTGGGTGTTCACCCCCGAAAGCTTATGCTCCAATACATCTGTTAGACTTAAAGGTGCCACAGGACACTCTGTTGCTTTTTACAGATCCAGACTAACACGGCTACCCCTCTGATACTTGACTGTTCTAGATAATGCCCATGACATGTAGGCACCCTTCCCTTCTAGTTTTCAAATGCTAGTCAGTCAGATTTTTGAACTATGGTCATACCCCACCCCTGCTCCAAAGGGACAGAAGGAAAAAAAAGGGGGGAGGGATAGCTCAGTGGTTTGAGCATTGGCCTGCTAAACCCAGCGTTGTGAGTTCAGTCCTTGAGAGGACCACTTAGGGATCTGGGGCAAAATCAGTACTTGGTCCTGCTAGTGAAGGCAGGGGGCTGGACTCGATGACCTTTCAAGGTCCCTTCCAGTTCTATGAGATAGGTATATCTCTATATATTTAAAAATAACCAGTGAGGGAAGAGCATATTCCATGCCCACTGCACCTTTGGCAGTCAAAAGGAGCTGAAGAGCAGTTGGAGCCACTCCCACTTAAAGGGGAGGTTCCAAAGAACAGGGATTTCCAGAAAACTCCAAGCTTGCATGGCCAGGGAGCATTTATCCTACAAGTGGGAATATGCAGGCAACATAGTTATTTCTGATTAGTAACCTTCCCCACTCCTTATTAAATTACCCCTGATTAAAGCCTTCACAATTACAGCCTAACAAGTTTTTAGGCCTTGTCCATGCTGGGCCAAGAACAGAGTTTAGAAATGGTATTTAAACTCTGCTAGAACAAATTTTAAAACATGGCTCTCATCCACATTGGCTAGCTAATCTGTATTCAAACCAGTTTGGGTGGAATAGTGTTTAGATAGTTTACATATAATTTCCAGATTTGGTTCCCAGTTCCCTGTGGTTCTGCAGCCAAGGAGGCTAATCCCTGTTCCAAGGGAGGTAGTGACCATTCTCTAGCATCTGCAAAATGCTACATTAGGTATTCCACAACATCTGCTTTTAGGGGTGGAGCTTGTTACATTCCCTAACTTGATTACTATATATGGTGACTGGATTCTTTGGTACAACACCAAGACTCGCTAAGCATGCTTAGCAACATCCTAACATAGTGCTGGACTTAGTTTCTCTCATTCTCTTCACCACTCATATGCCTGTAGGAGTGAAGATAGGGGGAAAGGAGGGTAACAGGGAACTTTGTCTTTTTTCTCCCCAATAAAACCATGGGTGAAATCCTGACCCTGTTGAAGTCAATGAGAGGTTTTGCTACTGACCTCATTGGAACAGCGGTTTCTCCCCAGATGCTACTTTTTGTTGTTAGTGTACCTATTTGGAGACATGGCCAAGAACTGACCAAACCACCCATTTCCCAGTGACCACACAAGGTAATTATGTCCATTTTAGGACTGAAATAATGGGTATATCTACACTGCAATTAAAAACCTGCAGCTGGCTCATGCCAGCTGGCTCAGGCTCACAGGCTAAGGTACTGTTTAATTGCAGTGTAGATGTTCAGGCTCGGGCTGGAGCTTCAGCTCTAGGACTCTGTGGGGTGGGAGGGTCCCAGAGCTTAGACTGCAGCCTGAGCCCAACATCTACATCACAATTAAACAGCCCCTTAGCCAGAGCCAGCTGGTACAGGCCAGCTGTGGGTATCTAATTGCAGTGTAGCCATACCCAGCGTAATTCCAGGCTGCATGGCATTTGACATTGGGGACAAGAAACCTCAGCAACTGAAAAATCCAGTGCCAGCAGCAAGGGAAGTTATTTTAAATCAGGGGTTTTTTCCCCTTTCTGCCAAGCAAGAATGGTTTGAATTAGGGCTTCAGCAGCAGCCTGACCTTCCCCTTGAATGACTCAGCATATGTGATCACATATTAAGGCTTGCAAGGCTCAGAAACTATGGATATTTTGTGCTGAGTTAGGGCCTTGAAATTTTAAACCTTTCACTCAACATTTTGTTCTTCCTTTGCTTCTCCTGTTTAAAAAAGTATGTTGTCAAGTTGCCTTTGCTTCTGTGTTCTGAAGTATGTCTTTTTACATAAAACTCTTGTCAGAATAGTGATTGTGGAATAATCAAAATAATTGTTTAAACTAGCTTACTTAGACCCATGTGTGTAATTGATTCTGAGTTCTCTAATTGAAGCCAATAACTTTTTTCCGCTGTTACTGTTTCGTCAGTAGGAAGGCATTCCTATTATATGCTTTATTAGTTTTTCTTGTAATGCCACAATTTTAATAAAATTTTCCTCTAAAATATTAAAAAGATAATCAGTTCAGGATGCAACGAACACTAGCTTTCAACTGTAGAAATGCACACACAATACAGGTATACGCCAAGAAAATGTATTGTTTTAGTATCAGGTTTTTAATTATCCTGTTCTCATATTTGATCAAGTTTTTAATCAACTTTACAACTTATAATTTATACTTTCTGAGTTGCAGTTGGTCCAGTTCAGAAGGTAAAGATGATCCAATTGAAGCATCTAAAGACAGTATATTTGTGAAAATACTACAAAAGTTATTGAAAGAAAGTAAGTTTTGTTATATGTAAAAAATACTTCCTCAAATTACTGTATGTCATCCTTGTTTTAAAACATACTTAACAAAATAAACAGCTTTTATCTATAAAAAGTAGAACAAGAAAGATGTAAAAGAAGCAAAAAAATTGCAACAGTAATTCATTAGATAAAAATGTGACCATGTGGCACCCTACTCTAGCTTTATGTATTGTTAGGGAGGCGACAAAACATGTAAGTTCTCTCTCTCGGAGCCTCCAAATTACATCTGTTTTGCAGGAAGATAGTGGGGTGTTTGTTTGTTTGTTTTTTTTTTAGTAACTCATCATTATACAACGGAACTCAGCCTCCAGTGTGAAAATCCCCTATGGGACAGGAGGAATTTTAAGACACCAGGACTATAATTCAGAATGGCTTAATTGTTTTAACTCACACTTTTAAAAAACTAACAAAAAGCCTTGTGTTCAGACCAATCAAGCAACATCACAACTCAAAAGGAATTTTTTGGATGAAATTTTATAAGCAACTAAAAGAGATTAGAATAGTAACTCAATATTAACTATAATCACAATTTTAAAAAGCTATATTGTCAAATGAGAGAAGCTTGAAGGTTATAAATATGGAAGCGCATTTCTTCAGAACAGTTTTATGTTGCATTTTTAAATCTATATGATTCTTGACCTTTTTTAAGGGCTGTAGTATCCAGTCATTTGGACTAAGTCCATTTTAATTGATCAAAAGTATGATTCATCATAGTTTGTTAAACAGGCACTTTGTGGCGTTTACATAACTATTAAAATATAGAATATGAAAATGGTCAAATTGAGGAGGGGAATATAATCTTAATCTTTAAACAATGAACTCAGTTTTACAGAACACTTTACAGAGTTGTTGCACTGCATGACACAGTAGATGGAATAGAATTAGAACAGTCTTTACAACTGCAAACAAATGATTCAGGAACTGAAATGCAGGTAAAGATGTTTCCATTGGCATCAAGCATCCTATCTAAGTATCTTACAGTTTCTATAATGCACGTTTATTTGTGTTGTAGGAGTTCAGCTCAGTGAATATTTACCGGAGGTGAAGGACTTGCTGCAAGCAGATGAACTTGGCAACTTGAAATCCAATCCTTATTTTGAATTTGTGCTAAAGGCAAACTATGAACACTATGTTCAAGGACAAGCATGATGACTTTTAACATTTTTGAAAGTAGAAATTTCTAAAGAACTGAGTTAAAGCAGTGTATACTTTTTTACATTCTGTATGTACTTGGTTAAACCTTTGTAATAAAGTTTATACAGTAATGTGTTTGGCTTTTGAAATTAACAGTCTTTACAATATAGCTAAGTCTCTTAATTTCTCTCTAGGAAACTCACTTTCTCTCCCGAGGCTGTAAATGTATGGCTGATTTTCATTTTCTGTGCCTCTTTTGGTTTCACATTTGTTCTGTACTTTTGTCTCGTGTGCAGGAAGTCTCAACACTAGAGGCACATACACCTGGGTGAAATCCTGGCCCCATTGAAAATCATGAGAGTTTTGCCATTGACTTCACTGGGGCCAGGATTTCACCCCGGGGAGTATATATTGGAAAAAATACAATAAATGTTAAATGATGGCCGAATATATAGCTTTTTGGATTAAGAAATGAAAGCCATGCTTGTGTAAGGCACTCTGCTTAGAAATTAGGCTTTTGGTATAAAACTTTGCATTGATACAACACCTTCCATCTGAAGAGATCCATGCAATACATGGATAGGTAAGTAGGCCCCATTTACAGAAAAGGAAACTGTCACAGAAATGATAAGTGACTTGCACAAGGTCACTCCCTGTGCCAGTGGCAGATAGGAATAGAACCCAGATCTCCTGACTTAAAAGTCCCCTGGCCTAGCAAATACATCAATCTTTCAACTTGTCCGTAAATCCAGTTTTTCACATAAATTTTCAACAAATCCAGAGCAATTTTTTAGATTAAGGTTACAAATTCAAAAGTTATCTATAGATTTTTACATTTTTAAAACAATGAGATTGAAGTTTGCACCATACAGTAATTGACAATAAATGCCTAGAACCTAAGCTCACAGGAAACCTAGAAAGCAGTTACCAAAGTGAGAGTCCAGGAAGACCTTCCTTACTCGAAGACTCATTCTTTACTAGTAGATGCCAACTTACCCCAGTTCACTTATCTCTGACATGATGATAAAAGAAAGTCCATGTAACTCTTAACATTGTAATGGTTCTCAGACTGAAATAACAGGTTTAATTTAAAATCATATAAAAATTGCTTTAATCTGACAAAACGCAGGAGGAGCTTTTCTTTTACAAATAGTTTAATGTCCAGAGAGTGAATGCAGAGCAACTTGCATACCCTTATGCTCTACTTGCCCTGGCTAGGTGCCTGCTAAAACAACTTGATCCAACAGCTGAGAAGGTCATAAGTTAAATCAGTTGAAGAGAATCCAATTTCTAGTTTAAAAAGCACAGCTATTGCACCATTGCTTCCCCTCCTCCTTGTGCTAATACAGTGCTCAGGGCTGAAAGGCTGAACATGTTTGGAAGAATAGACTTATCTAGAGATGTTCTAACTAATATGGAAAAGATACTCATTAGCACCCTTGTAAAAAGTCAACAATTAAACTTCACCTGTTTCTACAGTATGACATGGCTGTGAGAGCTGTCGGTATAACTTACAGCTTTGACTTTACAAAAGGGAATAATTCAAAGTACTGGAATTTTACTTACTCATGTAAAACACAACTTTAAATGGAAATGGGATCTCAAATTATTTAAAAAACTAAACTAAACATTAGGAGATGGGAAATGGTATATCAAATGACTGGCACTCTTTGTAAGGATATCTTATTCCTGTGCTTTGGCTTTGTTAAAATTAGCTTGAAGTGTCTAGTAATGTAGACATTTCTGGCCAAGCCTTGAATGTACTGATGGGATTTCTCACCCCCAGCCCCTCCGACTCATCTCCATACAATCTAACCACCTGTACCCAGTCATAATCCACAGAGTATGCCAAGGGAGACGTCTCAATAGCTGTTACACTTAGTCAAGAAGATAAATTTGCTAAAGTTTATGTATAACTAGATTGCTGTTAGCTCTTGATCTACTCCAAAGACAGGATATTAGGAATTGGAATTAGGAATGTTCAATGTGTTCACTATGTCAATATAAAATTTGAAAGGTCAAGATTATTGGGTTATTGTCCCTTTGCATGTGCTTGTTCATTCTATGCCAGGGGTCGGCAACCTATGGCATGCGTGCCGAAGGGGCACGTGAGCTGATTTTCAGTGGCACTCACAGCTGGGTCCTGGCCACCAGTCCGGGGGGTTCTGCATTTTAATTTAATTTTAAATGAACCTTCTTAAACATTTTTAAAACCTTATTTGCTTTACATACAACAATAGTTTAGTTATTATAGACTTATAGAAAGAGACCTTCTAAAAACGTTAAAATGCATTACTGGCACGCGAAACCTTAAATTAGAGTGAATAAATGAAGACTCGGCACACCACTTCTGAAAGGTTGCTGACCCCTGTTCTATGCAATCAGAACTCCCACTGATTCCTGTTAGAGATCTGCTTCCATTAGGGCACATGGGGTCCAAAGTGTATATTACAAGAGTTGCACAGTTAAGATTTGGTATTTGCTCCTATTTCCAAGCTTTTCTGATAATCTATCCATTAAAATAAAGTAACAAAACTTTATGGTGAACACTTCTCTTATAGAACAGACTTCTCTCAAATAGTGGCACAGAGAAGAGGTCTTCATTTAGCACTGCATATGAATGTCACGGGTATCCTATTTTGCTGCATAATAGATCTAAAAAGATTCCAATGAAGGGGAACAGTTACAATAAGTATAGACTACTACCTGTTCCTGCAAGAAAGTTTTCAGTTAGCCAGGTGGTTAAATTAAATAGGGGAGAAAATGTTCTCAAATGTTTGGGGGGGAGGTAACAAATTTTATAAGTAAAGAATGTATTAAGCATTTCTTTCCTTGTATAGGATACAAATCATTTTAACGTCCAACCCTCACTTGTAAAAATCACGAGTTTAAGGATGGAAAAGGGTGTGAAGTTGTGATTTGTATCAAGACAAGTGGAAGAAATTGGACATTCCACTATGGAGATCAGTTTTATTCTCGCCCTGCTCTTATTGCTGGAGTTTGAACTGACTTGTCGCTGTGGTGGCTGAACACTGAAAAAATAAATATTGGTTTAGCCCCTCGTGCCTATCCTATGTTACAATCCCAGAGCATGCATACAGGGAAAGTGGCCTTTTATGTGGAAAATTAATATTGCCACCAGGCATTTGTCTATATTGAATTGCTATTTATCATACTTAGCTATAGTATCACTTTGAGATACCATGAGATTTGTTGTAGGAAAACCAAAATGGTATATGTCCAATAATTTTTTTTCAAAACTTACATTAAAAGGTCCCTGACAATGCTTCCCCTGTTAATATTTTAAGCAGGGTTTGTGCCACCACATATGGATAACTGGAGTACAAATACATCTCTCATGAAATAACTAATCCGAGCATCTTTTTTAATATCTGATTATTGTGATTCCTTAAAATCCTCAGGAAAGGTAGCTTCTCTTTATGGAGAATTTATGTAGGTTCAGTTTTAGGCAACAGAGTTTGGAAGAATGAAGAGGAGAAAAAATTGCAGAAAAAAATCATTTCTCCCTCTTCCCCTTCCCCCCTCCCCCCCGCCTGCTTTACGACAGTAGCATGGCAGGAAGTGGAAATGGAAAGCGGCAGCAAAAAGACATAGGGTGCAGCCAGAGGTGAAGGGGAGAGCTGCCAGACTAGGAGTTGCAGCGATTAAATGTTAGAGAAGAAGAAAAGTCAACCATCCCCTGATAAACCTTACTGCTGTCTTGCAGCTGGGGAAATCCAACTGCAGAAAATGCCTTCTCCATAGTGGTTCGTGGAAGCACAGAGACTTCTCCTAGCACTTTTCTCTACTCCACATTTTAGTTGTCTTTTTTTCAGAAAAAATTTTCCTTTGGCTACTCCTACCCTAATTTCTCCGAAGTCAGTTGTTACAAACCAGGCCTGCTTTCTTCATCTCCTTTACCTGATTCTTCCTTCTAATTGTAACAGGAATTTCTAAAGAAAGTCTTTCACCTCCGCCAAATAGAATCTCTGCTTATTCAGAGCCTGGCTAGATGAAGAGTTAATTTCCCCTTATTTAACGATGGAGTAGTTTCATCCAGTCACAGGCAGCTTATCGGTAAGACTAATATACCTTTTTAAAACCCTTATGGATGAGCTATTCTGAGTCACACATCAAATCTGTATTCTAAGCCAATCAGAACTCAGCAGGTCAATAATGGATACAGTTCATAACTGCAATTGGAGTGCCCCAGGATCCAACAGCTAGTGGTTAAATCTACATCAGACTTCTGGTATTAGAAATAGTCACTGGAATACATTTTCCCAGTACCAATATCTCTTGAGGGGCTTCTTTAACAGACATCCACCATTACACTATGCATTTCTTTTTCATATGCATCTTTAAATCAGACCCAAAAAAATCAGTGTGTTTTAAAGAGCTTGCTAATATGAAACTGATTTTTAAATGTAAGGTCAGATCCCATATAGGGCAAATGAAAGCATGACAGGGGCATTCAACATAAATAAATCATAATCTGTTTCCTTTTCAGCTTTAGATTTTCTTCTGTGCTAACTCCCCTTACCTACACAACTGATTTTTCTAAATATTTTCCCCCTTTTATGTCTATTCTTTGTTGGGATGAATACAATTCCTATTTATGGAGGAAGAATGGCCCCTTCCCTGATTTGGCAAAGAATTGTACAAGAATTGAATGGGTACTTAATACCATTCTGTGATCCCTACCTTAAAATTTAATTACAAGCATTTTTTAAGGGTGCCTGAAAGTTACAAACGTCATCTCAATAACTTTTGTGGTGGATGCAGAGAGGCCTTTGTTAATTACATATCTAGGCTATCTTGCTGGTTGCTGAAACGATCAGTAGGAAATGTCGGAGCAGTTTCCTCTTCCTAATTTTCCAGAGAAATAGCCTATAAAAGGATATTTTATGGTGGGCTACAAACCAGAACACTTCTATCTTTGTCTTCCATAGAGAAAACACCTGTTGAGCATACAGATTCCTTCCAGCATGTGTGTACATTAGAAAAGTAGATGTTACCATTGCTCCAAGTGAGGCTGCTGCTCTCTTCCACTAACTTTTGGCATCACATCTGTCCTTCCTGTCCCGCTAAGCTGTCCATTTATTTCAATTCTCTCCATAAGCAGTTGCTGTGCTTCCTATCCTAACAGAAGTTGGACAACTACCAACTGTACTTCCAGCCTTCCCCAACCCAAAATGACCATTAAACCTCTACATGACCATAAGTAGATTCAAATCCCTGGAGAATTTTTTTTTTAAATATATCTGAATATATCAGTGGTATAAATAGCATAAACAACAGCAGCCCCACTGTGCATGGGAGCTGTCCAACCTATACTGGCAACTAGCCAGAACGTGGATCTTTATCATTCTCTAGATATAAAACTGATTTTGCACAGCATTTTTTATTACAAAAAGCTGCTGCTGTGCAAGAATTAATTTTTCTACCCAAAAATAAAAAAAGCTGCAGTGATTTAAACAACAACAAAAACAAAATGTGTCCCCTTGCAACAGTCCTTTCCCCTGGGGTGGAGAATGCTAATTAGGAGGCAGCATCCACCGAGCTGTGTGTGTCTGACACAAACTGCCCACTTAAAGAGACCGTACACAAATGTGCGTGGCTCGCCTGCCGCTTAGCTCCTGGCGGGCCGGTGTCCGAGCCCCTTGTCCCCCGGCCAGCCAAGGCTGATCGCCCCACGGCCCTGCTCTCAGCCCCTCTTCCTCGGGCCGAGCCGGGCTAGCCTCCCCCTGGCTGCCCCGAACCTGCGGCCGCTGCCGGGCCGGGGGCTCCCACCCGGCAGCCCTGCGCCGCTTTCTCCTTTCTGGGTATCGCGGGGTCGGGATTATTTCGGACACGAGCCCTCCCGGCCCCTTCCCCTGGCCCGAGGCGGGGGCCGGGGAGGGCCCGGCAGACGCTCCTTATACGGCCCGGCCTCTGGGCCCTGGGCCCGGGCCAGGAGCTCCTTCTTTGGGCAGCCCCGCGGCAGCGCAGGGGACCTGGGGGGCTCCGGCCGGGCCGGCCGGGCTCGCTCGCTGCCCAACACCCAAATATGGAGACAGACGGGGAGACATTCCTGCGGCCGGCGGGGGAGGCGGCGGCGGCGGCTCTATAAAGCCGGGCCGGGGCCGGGCAGCCCACCGAGCTGGAGAGCTGCGAGGAGCCTGAACCAGAGCGGAGAGCCA